GGAGCACACTGCACTCTGAGCCACTCCCATTGGATATTGGTGTTTTAGAACATTTTGAAGGAAAGCCTTCAATTATCCAGGGATGCAGATGGGAGGGACCATGGGATGCAGGACCCATGGGATGCAGCAGGCTCACATCTCCTGGTGTCAGAAGTGTCACCGCTCCAGGATGCACTCACCCACCCACACTGCTGCCCCCTCACAGGTCTCCAGGGCTGACCCCTCTGTCCCTTTGGGAGCATACAGCCCCAGGAACAAAGGCACCCAGCAGGACGCAGCTCCTCCTGTCTCTATCAGCCTCTTGCTTTTGTGTTTCACTAAAAATATCCCATGGAGGAAGTTTCAGCCGCGGGGTGGATGCTCTCCTCCGGGGATGGGTTTCCTGCACCACCCGACATGAAAATCCCCCCTTGGTGAGCTGCACGCTGCCCTGCAGAGCCCCTTCTCCCACTGTTGTAGCAAGGCCAGTGAACCCTTCTCCTCTGCGGGTTCATCATAATCTGAGACTCCAGCACATCTCACAAGCCACAGTGCCAGCCTAAAGTTGACAGCAGAACAAATAAAGTCAGAAGTTAACAGATTGCTGATGCTGAAGGGGAGAGCAGAGAAGATTGAAAAGCACAAGGATGGGATTGGCCTTGTCCCCAGTGAGGCAATGGGACAGAGCCCCAAACTTCACAGACCCAAATGGCCCTCAGCTGCCTGCACAGCACTGCACTACAGAGAGCTGCAGAAATGCATCCAGCTCCTGGAAGTCCCCAACACTCCAGGGAAGGTACTCTGCAAAAACACAGGTTTCACCCCCCTCCTTTTCACTAAACACCACCTTCCTGGGTGGTCAGAGAGGACAATGGTCTGAAAAATGGCTATTTGTGTACATTTCCCCAGGTCCCATGTCACTGTGAGCTGGAGCTGCTTCCATGTCGAGCGACACACGATGCCAGTGAGCACAGCTCCATCAATAATGCAGTGGGGTCAGCGCTAGCACAGGGCTGCCGGCTTCCCCACATGCCAGCTCTGCCTCTGGGACTGGATTAATATGCTAATCCCAAAAGCAAGCCCAGTCTCTGCTCCTGGGGCTGAGCTCCAGCATCATAGGGTGCTACCCCCAGGCTCCTTGCAGCCATTTCCCCTTTTCCAGCAAGGGCAAGGATACCACACTTCATCTCAGATCCACGGCACACAGCAGAGCAGTAACCCAAACTGCCAAGGGCATTGCTGATACAGCAGCTCCAGAGCAGAAATGGTTTGGTAAGGTTGGTGCTTGTAAGGGAGTGCTCCTGCTGCCAGGCTGCATCCCTGCACCACACCAAGCTGGGGCCCAGCTGCATGGCCTGAAGCAAACTCAAGCAGAAATAAAGCTGCAACTACTGCAGTGTCCACAGAAAGATGCTGCAGGGGTAGCAGAGAACACAACTGGGATGCAGCCACAGCTCTTCTGCTCCATGTTGGAGGGTTCATCTGTGCCTTTACCTGCCCTGGGCAGGGGAACCAGGGATGGGTCCTGCTGTCCTCTCTGCTCTCAGCCACTGGGACTGAGCAGCACAGGATGCTGTAGGAAGTGCCTTAATTTAAGCCACACACTTATTTAAATTTGTTGCTTTTTTTCCCCTCCTTTCTCTCCAAAGTTCATAATTACTGCAGACACTTCTGCTCATGTTAGGCTTTATTACATCTCTGTGGTTATTCTACAAGCCCTAAATTTTGGGCCTCAACTGAATTGGCAAAGTTCTCCAAAAACATCTGCGCTATGTTACTCCTCTCTCAGCACTCCGGCAGAAAGCTGGAGGCACGAGATGTTGCAACGCAGAGTTTTGTTTGCAATAGAAACAAAGCTCTTATTCCTGACCCCAAACAGAAGGGTAAATATTTACCGCCCTGAAGTCAGCACTGCCCACACCTGCAGGACCCCTGAGCTCAGTGTTCCCTGGGGAGCAGCACAGCCACCCCCAAAGCCCCAGCTGCTCCTGGTGCGTGGTGGGCTGGTGGCACAGGGCAGTGTCACTGCAATGCCCCAAGTCCAAGGGGATCACCCTTTTTCCAGCTACTTATGGCTTGCGGAACAAAGCTAAGGTTGCACCATTCCCCCAACACAACCAGGTTCCTCCTCTTGAGGATTTCTAGTCTCAAGAGCTGAAGGACACCACTCAGCAACTGCCCACATCACTGCTTGCACTGCACACAGACTGTGTGGTGTGGCAACGGGACCAGACCTCAGCCTGCAGCACTGAGCCCATCACCCATCTGCAGGGATAAAGCCAAGTCCAGCATGCAGCACAGCCCCAGCATTCCTATTTAACACCTGGACACGAATTCCCCTGCATTAGAACTGTGAGAACAATAGGCTGCTTGAGGCCAGGAGCTACTAAAGATATGTGCTCGCTATGCAAATGATAGAGTCAGGGCAGTCCCTTTGCATCCCCAAATCATGCTTCGGCATGACAAGAACAGCAATGGGAGAATTGCACCATTCCAATCATGTCCCAAAGGCCTTGCTGTTGTTCTTGTTTTTCCTGCAAACACAGCTGGAGAACAGCGAGGCACCAATCCCAACAACCACAGGCAGCCCTACACCACAGCCCTGGACCTCAGCTGCCCACACACTGCAGCACGCATCCCTGCTGCCTTGTCAGCCCAAGCATTCATTTAACAGTGCTGCCCCAAAGGCACCTTTGCAATAACAGCAGCTCCCAGCAGGCACATACAGCAACATTGCAGAGATGGGTCACATCTCACCTCCCTGCAGGAGGCATCAGGGTAACCAGCTTTGCCTGCAGGGAAAACAGCACCTCAGATTCACAGCAGGATTCTTCTAGAGAAGATTTTGGGCACTCAGGTGTGTCTCCTTCAGCAGTAAGGGAGGCAGCACTGCAGAATGGGGCCTTGCAGTCTCTGTGGCACCACAGCCCTAAGTCCACATGGTGCTGTGCTCCACTGGGCGCACACTGCTGGCAGCCAGCCCTGCCACCCTGCTCCCTGATTTTAAATAGGTGCTGAATTATTCATAGCACTACAGTGCTTGCTGGAGGCACTGCGTCCAGCACACCAGGTCACACCTTAACCTCACTGCCCAGAGCTGCTGGCACTTCTTACTCTAAAACAAGCATGGGGGGAGGCTGCCAGAGCTGTGCCCACCCTGCCTGTTGCATCACATCCCTGTGCCACATTTCCCTCCTTGCTGTATTGAACAACTGCCTAATGCCTGGTGCTGAACAGACCTCATTTAGGGGAGCCCAACTGCAGGGCCATCTGAAGCCTGCACTGCAGGATGCAGGGTGCTGCCTCCCTGAAGCCAGCCGGCTGCAATGCACAGAGCCAGGTCCTGCAGCTCCAGCCACCTGTGGCCCCAGTGTAGCAGTGACCTTGGACAGGAAATCCCACAGCACTCAGCTGTTCAAAGAGCTGCTGCAGGAACAAAACAACTGCAGAGCCACTGCAAGAACCCAACAGGCTCAGAGCTGCTCAGCAGCCCCACAAAGACCCCCATTAGGGGGAGTGACACTTCAGGAGTCCCGGCTTCTGGGGTGCCCCCATGGATGGTATCTACCTGGGACAGTCCCACTGAGCTCTCCCCAAGGCAAAGCCACCACAGGTCACTATGTCCTGTTCAGGCACTGCATCTGCTGGATGCCAACACAGGTTCTGGCACCACCAGCCTCAAACACAGCGGTTGCTCCATGCACTTACCCTCACCAAGCCCACAGCCCCTCTGCAGGGGGGTCCAGGCACTCCCCCCACACTGTACCCCCCCGCCTGCTCAGCTCTCCTTGTCCCACCCTCTCCTTGGAGGAGCCGAAACCCAAAGGCCGGAAAGGACCAGCCCGTTCCCCGCGCCCAACTTCCCGTCAGCATGAACTGTTGGATTTCACCCAGCAAAAGGAACAGAGACAGGATAGGAAACCCCCAGCCTGGGAAGCTGTGCATGGCCGTCCCCACTGCAGCCCCTCTCCCCCCAGTTCCCTTCTCCTGTCCCACCAACCACCCCAGGGGGTTATGAGTTCCACAGCACTGACATCCACTGTCACCCTTTGGATACCTTCACATCACAGCCTAAAGCACCCCCAGGAAGGGTGGCCCCCCAGACCATCACAGCCCTGGAACAGGCACAGCCCTGCCCAACACAAGCAGTCTAATACAAGGGGGGGAAAGGTCAGAAGCAGAACCCCACTCATAACTCCACTGCCTGCTCTATGCCTCATCCCCATGCAGAACTTGTTGAGCTGTTACCCCACAGGGGCTCCTGAGGGCAACAAGTGCTAAAGCTGGATTTGAGAGCAGGGAAAGCCTTGCATAGCCTGGTTGTAAGCAGCACCAGAGGGCTGCAGGGTTCACCCCCTCAGTGATTCAGGTGGGGACAGCCAGCTGCATGGTGGAGACTGCCATGTTCACACCCCGTGCATGGGCAGTGCTGGGGCTGAGTGCTGCATATCTGTGCGTGCAAGGCTGTGCCATCACCACCCTCCCAGCAGGGAGCCAGCCACGGAAACTGGACATCTTCCACCTCAAATTCTTTCCTTGCTGAAAAGGAGTTTACCAATGAAAGGCGCTTACTGCAGAATCACAGCCCAGACTCAGACCACTTGAAAAAGAGCTTATTTCCTTCCTATTTCAGCAAAAAGCTGAGAACACATTCAACCCAGCTGTTCCCTTCATTCTAGTAGTAATAGAGAAGAAATGGACTGAGTTAAGGAGCTCAGCTTCACCACATCCACAGCCTGAGCTGCCTGTTCCCAGACAGGGACAAGGGACAACAACATCAGCCAGGGCAGCCTGGTTGTCCCCAGGGCTGGCTGCTCTCCTCAGCTCTCTGTAGCTCCTCCAGGAGCAGCCAACACTGCTTCCAGCAGAGCAAACAAGGCCATGGGGCAGCTCACCCACAGCTTTGGGACACACTGAGATCCCCAAAGCCACATACAGAAGGTTTGCTGATGGGAAGCACGCTTGCAATGGGAAACATCCCGCTGTCCAGCCACACATCATGCCACCAGCTCTGTCCTCACCTTCCTGCTGCCATGTGAGGAGAAGCTGTGCGAGTGTCGCTGCAGGCTGCCCGCGCTCAGCTCCAGCTGTGGCTTCCACACCTCCCCGTTGTCACTGCCCACCGACTTGGAGGGCGAGATGCTGGAGCCCAGCAGGATCCCACTGTGTGCCATCTCCTCTGTGCATGTCAGGCGCAGGCTGCACAGGTATTCATCTGTCTCCTTGTCCACCACCAGCAGGCGGGTCTCTGTCTCCACTGCTTTGATGCGCTGCACCACCTGCAAAGGAGAAGGAGAAGTGAGCAGAAGCCCAGGGACTCCCCACTTCTCAGGGGGAGCTGTATCTCAGGACCCTCAGCCCATTGGTGCTCTCCTGCTGCTTCCATTTCACTGCAGGGTGCACATCCGTTGCTGTTTCTATAGGCAACAGGGGAGGAAGGCAGAGATTTGGGATCCTTCATGATGGCACAGCCTGCAGCCATGGGTGACAGTGACAATTCCTTCCAGCCCAACCTAAATGATGGATCTGCCCAGCACAGCTGCACACACATTGCTGGACATCATCCCCTCTGCTCCACCTGCAAGTGTGCTGTTCCATCACACAACATGCATTCTGAATCCTGCTGCCTGGCTTCATCCTTCACAGGGACAGCACAGTTCCACTGCATGAAGAACCCTGCAAACCAGTAACTCCCCCCTTACCTGGGGCTTCTTTCTGCTCCCATACCCAGGGGCAGGGCAGAGAACCAGACACAAGGTAGAAAACTAGATTGCACCAAGAACCATAGCACAAATGCAGTGTTTCAACTGCCTTTGCTGCACTCTCGACATCAGCATCCTGAATCCCTTCCTCCCTCCCCCTCATCCCCCGAACAGATTTATGAAAGCAACAATCTGATCTGTGCATTCATCCCTCCGTGTGATGGGACAGCAGAGATAAGGGAAACCAGCACCAGGAGATGAGCCCGTCCCTGCTGGTCTCCAGCTTCAGGCACAGCTGAATGGGACCATTGTCCTCATACAGCCTCACTTTTTCACTTTTTTTTTGTGACTACAGATCGTCTGAAAGGAGCTGGCGGTGTCAGCCCAGCAGGGAGGAAGGGGAGCACAGGGCAGCTCACACGTGGGAAAGTGGAGAACTGCGCTCAGCTCTAGGGCAGTCAAGCAGGCACATGACCACAGCACAGCAGGATGGGGTAGGAATGGGGAATATCAAGGACATATGAGGGAAAAGGGCAGAAAAAGACTCCAGAAGCCCCTGCCTGCAGCCTCAGGATGGTATCCTACTGGGCATCACCTACTGCCTGCATAGGCCTTCATTATGAAGAGGAGGATGGTATCACAGCTCTGCCACCCTCTCCAGCTGCAGGGGGACATTGCCACCACTCATGGCCCTGTGACAGCCTGCATGTGCTGGGGAAGCCCTGAAGCAGAGCAGGGTTCCTTACAGCTCCTGCCCTATCTAGGTCAGGCCAGCCAGATACTGCAACCGCCAAGGTTAGAAGTGACAAACGAGCCTAATGTGCAATTAGCCAGCATTTATTTACTCCCCTGCAAGCTCCATTCAAGGTCAACACAGCCAGTATCTGCAAATGAAAAAAAACAACCAAGATGAAATTTATAGACTGCAGACATGGCTGCATGTGCTGAGCAAACCAACCCAGCAAGCACCAACACCTGTCGCCCCACACCAGGAGGGCTCCCATCCATAACCTGCCTGCAGGTTGCTGCTCCACCGAGCCCCAGAAAACCCATCTGATTTCAGATCCACTTCTGTGCAACACCAGGTGATGCTGCTGACACCAGCACCTACGACAGGGCACATCTCCAGAAAGGGACTGGGAGCTAACAGCTGATGTGCAGGGGTAGGGGGTGCAGATCGGCAGCAAGGTGGGGAAGCGTGCAGGAAAAACAATGGTAGAGTCCTGCACATCCCTCCCTCTTTCTCAGGCCCTAGAGTTTGGGTCCTGCAGGCACCATTGCAGCACAGTAGTTCTCACTACTGGCAGGGAGAAAAGTCACACAGATCCAACATAGCACAGCAGATCTTCCACCGGCACAGGAGCTGGGCTGGTCCCTGCCAAGCACCACACACTGGGGAAACCACAGTTGCCAGGGCATGTTCCTCAAAGCAGCTGCACAAAGCAAAGCGTTCTCCTTTTTGGGAAACCCCCAAACTGCCACTGGAACTCAAGCATCGTACAAACTGCACTGTGAGCACCTGGGAGCTCATATCACAAGACCCCCAACAAGCCCCTAAGTCCTTCCAAACAGCTGCAGCATTGGCACAGCAAAGCAGAACAGGACAGCAGAAGCATCCCAACCCAACACAGGTGCCATGAAGCACTGTCCATGGCACAACAGGCCAAGCAGCCTCCAGCTCCTACAGGACCTACATCCTTAGAGATGGAGTAGCGGGGTTGAGAGCAAAGCAAACACCCAGCAAAGCACCCCATCTCCTACCCGCCTCCGAGCCATGGCCAGCACCCAGACCCGCAGCTGAGGACAGCTCAGTCTCCACTCTGCATCCGGCACCTCTGGATCTGCTCTGCACAGCTCCCTGCCCCACATCCTCCACGGCTCCACCCAAACCCGCTCCCACCCTGGGAGCCAGCACTGGCCCAGAGCAGAACCTTGCAGCCCCAGAGAGGGTGCTGGCAGGGACTCAGTTTTTCCCTTCCGCTCTGGATGCAGTGCCTCTATGCACACAGCTTTGGTGTCACCAGAGTGGACCTTGAGGCTTTCCTGTGTCACCAGCACAGCTTGGTCACCTCTGGGCTTGCTTTGCTGGTGCAGATGCATGAGCAGAAGGCATTCTACCTGAGACCACTACAGCACAAGCTCCCACACACTCCCCAGGATGCGCCATAGCCGCATAAAGGGGCTGCTCTTGGCCACCAGCACTGCGGGCATCCCATGAGCTGTCACAGGCACAGGACACAAACGTGTCCCACACACAGCCCCATTTCAGCCCCCTCCAAGGTTTCACTGTGCCATGGGATCAGAAGCGCAGCACCCAACTGCTCTGACCACCACCAGAAGCAGACTGCAATGCTGCGTCCCAGGCAGAACAGGACACCCTGGGAACACGTCCTGCTCCTTTTATTGCTAGCTTTGGCCAGAAACAGTTACACAGAACAGCAAGGCCTTGTTTGCTCCTAGTGCCATCCTGTTGCAGCTTCAGATGCGCATGGAGAAGCGTTACTTGTCCAAGGACAGCAATCAAAACAGTGTAAAGAGGAGAAGCTGCAGCAGTGCTCAGTTCCATCTGTGCTCAGGCACCAGAGCAGCATTGCCCATCCTGTAGCATGCCCTTGGTTGGCATTTTACTGGGGAAAGTCATTCTTGGCTAGGCAAGAAGAGCAGGTCCTGGGGAATGCTCAGGCACTGGTGCCATTGCAGCAGGGACAATCTGGGCCTGTTTGCTCCCCAGCAGGACACCCCATCCTATGCTCCACAGCAGTAATGTCACAGCTCCAACCCTCTTCCACCAGGAGAGGGAAAGTCTCTCCTATTCCCCTTGGCCTTCAAGAAGCCCCTGCTCATTTCAAAGCCACAGCAGGCCGCCTCGGATCTGCTATCGCTCCTTCCCCAGCATCCGAATTCCAGCAGGGAGCTGCAATGCTTTCCAACAGGAGAGCGCCGCCCGCCTCGCTGCCCAGCAGGATCAAAGCACGGAGCCTCCTCGGGTGGTTTTGAAATCGCATTCAAGACAAACATCAACTTTCACAGAGCTGGCTCAGATTATCCAAACAGGCAAAATCAGCATGGGAACCCATGAATCTAAGCACAAGGGGGAGAACTGAGGGCTTTATTAGAGTCACCTGAGCTGCTCATGGTGCCCTGAAAGGTTCTGCCTGGAGAACACCACATCCATGCCTGTAGGTGGAACTCAGAACCCATACACATACCCCAAAAAAGTGCTGGATCTGAAGGCTGCACAAGGCACAACCCTGCTGTGCAACAATACATCATTGGCAGAGATGCCAGGCCCCTGCACTCAAGCCCTGGACCCAACACACCACGGTGCCATGCAGTGGCTGCCCCGGCCTCACTGCTTGTTCTCTGTGCTGAACTATTTAACAAACATTTGGTTTTATAAACAGAAATGGACACGGCCTGAAGTGTGCAGCTCTTCCTGCAGAACTGGGACCCATCTTACTTGGATCCCGTCCAGTTCTGTCCGTGCCCTATAGCAGATACTAAACCTTACAAAGCCCTATCACCTTTCAGCCACTCAAACCACTGAACATCTGCGGGGCTCTATCTGTAGATTTGGAGGCATCCTTGTCCAGCTCAGGCTGCAGCAGCTTGCCTAAAGCAACTGAAAAAAGCACAGAGCAGAGCCGGAAATAAAGCCCGGGTTTCCCGATTCCTTTTCGCCATAGATTGCATAACACAGCAGTGCCCTGCCCATGCCAAAACACCTTCGGCTCTCCCACCTCGCTCTCCTGGCTGCCACGATTACAACATCCTCCTGCAGCGGGGACACGGCCGTTCTCGTGGGAACGAGGTGTTCCGGGCTGCAAGAACTCCACACAGGCCGAGTCCTGCGTTGGGTCACCCACCCTGCCGGGCACCCCCGGCCCCGCGCTGGGAGGGGATGCTCCGAGGGGATGCTCCGAGGGGATCCGGGGTGATACCCGCACCGCGGCTGGAGGGCTCAGCCTGAGGGGGGGGAGGGGGGAATCCCTGCACTCCTCCCCCCTCTCCTCCCCTCTCCCTACTCCCGCAGCCCCGGACCTGGTGGTGCGTTTCCTGCTCCACGTTGAGCCCGTTCACCTCCACGACTCGGTCCCCAGCTCGCAGCCCCGCCGCTTCGGCGGGTGAACCGGGCTCCACTTTGCGGATGAACTGCCCGCTCTTGCCCTTCTCGCCGTGCAGGTGGAAGCCGTAGCCGTTCTCCCCTTTCAGCATATGGCACAGCCGCGGTTTCAGCTGGTCCTTAGCCATGGCCGGGGCGGGCGGAGGAGCGCGGCGGAACGGAGCGAAGCGGAACGGGGGCGGGCGGCCGCGGGGCCCTTTTATGCGCGGCGCGGGGCGGGCGCGGGGCGGCGGGGCGCGGAGGGGCGGGCCCGGGCCGGGGCCGCGGTCGGGGCCGGCGTTGGGGTCGGGGCGCTGCGCAGCGCGGCCATACTGCGCGCTGCCCGGGAGCGCGGAGAGCGGGGAGGGGATGGGGACGAGGATGGGGATGGGAGAGGCGGAGCCGGGGATGGGGACGGGGCGGGCGGAGCCGGGAACGGGGCGGACGGATCCGGTGGTGTCTCGGGGGCGGGTGGTGAGGGGATGCCCGCGGAGAGGGGATGTCGGGCTGCGTGGGTCGGGGCGCCCGGGGCTGCTCAGAACGGAGTCGATCGGGACGGTGCGGAGCGCGCAGAGCGGGGCCTCCCTGGGCTCTGCTTCGCCTGCCGCGGTGCCCGCGGGGCCGCTCGAAGCCACCCGGGCTGCGGGGAGCAGGGGCTCCCAGAAGTTACCGCAGCAGTGCCAGAACCGGGCCCTGACCCTAACTCTAACACGTTCCCCCACGGCATGGGGACGCACGGAACACAGCGCAGAGCAGCACAGCTCTCCAGGAGGAGAAGGGGAGGGAATGGGGACCCCTTGCTCCCAGAGAGCTGTTGAGAGATGATGGATTCAGAGAGGGGAGGCTGCAGCCCAGCCTGGAGACGGAGAATACTTCTGGAATGTCTGCTGGTCCACCCAGCCGGGCACCGACAGAACTGCTGGCCTGACAAGCTCTGGATGTTCCTGGGAGAGTTCTGAGACAGTACACACCTCTTTCACCAAGGACCGCCGTGGGCTCAGCTGCCCCAATGCCCTCCCCACATCCTGCTTGTCCCTGTGTCTGCAGGGCACTGAGGTTTCCCCAGCACTCTCTCCACCTTGGTCCATGTGTAGCCTCGGACAAAAAAGTTGGTGTCCCCCAATGCCAGGCTGCAGGGAAGGGCTCACCAGCTCCAGCTTCCAGCACCAGAGCTGTGCTGCACCCATTGCCCAGCTGAGCTGCCCTCAGCTCACTGTCATGGCTATGCTGGCACGCAGAGATTCCCATCTTCACCCCTTTGCATCTCTGATTTCATTTCCTTGAGAGCTTTTACAGGAGGAAATGACCCAGATCTGTTGTCACAGCACTGGTGCTGTGGGTCTTGTTCCAATGTCACAGGGGCTTGTTCCAATGTCCCAGCTGCATTCTTAGCAGATTTTTGGAGAGGAGAGGAGAGGAGAGGAGAGGAGAGGAGAGGAGAGGAGAGGAGAGGAGAGGAGAGGAGAGGACTTCTACTGAAGTTCTGCATTAAGTCACTTTTCAGTGGGATGTTCGAACCAAAAAGAATTTTAAAAAAGCATTATTTTTCTCTTTCCACCCACATTTCCTGCAGGCAGTGTGGATGTTTGGGTGCTGCAGGGGCTGTGCTGGACACAACGAAGTGGTCGCAGTGCATTGGGTGCCAGCTCAGCTCCGTTGGGTTTGTCCCTGCAGCACTGCTGCTGCGGGCGAGTGGAGAATCCAGAGAGCATTTTATCTGCTGTACAACGTAACTGCTCCCTTGAGCCTCTTTGTGGAGTCCTGAAGCTTTTTTAATCAGTTTAGAGGAGTGCGAATAATTGATTTTTCCGCTCTCTGGCCAAACCAAAAAAAAAAAAAAAAGAAACACTGGAGAGAGGGAGGGAGGAGAAAGAATTGTTTCAAGTTTATCTGAACCAAAAGAAGTTTTTCTTTTTATTCAGTACAATAAAAACAGAAGGGAGAAAATCTTTTGGGTGGTCAGACAGAATGTTTTAACCCTTTTGAATATTGTTTCTAGGAAGTGCTGGTAGCTTACAAAGTAAAAAGGGAGAAAAATACTGTTTCAAAGAGGTGAAAATGAAATGTTTGAATGTTTCCCAAGTGCTTATTTGCTTGAGCATAAACATTTTCTCAACTAACCTAAATTTGTTGACTTTTTTTCAGCCTTATACCCAAAAAGCATCCATTCCCCATCAAAAAAAAAAAATATATATATATTAATTTTATTAATTGTAGAGAAGGGAAGTGGGGTCAGTCCTGGCACTGAGTGCCGCCTGTTAGGTGTGAGAAGATGCAGACCAGCACAGATGCTGAGATCTGCTGCTCTGGGAAGGCCTTTGCAGACCTTTTGCAAAGCTGAAGGCAGGCAAAGGGCACCAGGACCCCAGGAGCTGGTGATATTCAGCATATATTGCACAGATTAATTGTTTTTCCATTTAAATTTCGGTGTGTTCTGATTCACCCCAATATCCGGATCCTAATTGCGCTTCCCTGAAGGATGGGGAAATTTATGGGACCTGTGTGCTGGGAGGGCTGGGAGCTCTTCCCATTTGGCATCTGCTTACAGCCCACTCAATGCGTGAAGCGGTTACACGGAAATACACCTGTGTACAGCTCTGTTTGCTTTCGATGTTGTGTAACCCGTGTGAAACACACACACCACAAGGAGAGGTTGCAGCAGGGCAGCAATGTGGGCAGACCGGCGTGGGAGGAGCAGGACAGTCTCATAGCTCAGAGGTCTGCCTACGTCCAGCACATCTCTGCTCTGCAGCCCTGCCTTTGAGGCTGTTGGAAGGACAGCGGGGCGGGAGGTGGAGGGTGGTGTGCCAATGCTGATGACGGGCTGCAATTTCAATGCAATTCAGGTTTTGCACCTTTGGTCCTGCTGCAGCAGGTGGGAGTAGGGTGATGAAGGCTCCCAAGTGCTTCCCTCCGCAAGCAGCACACATCAGAACCAGTTTGAACCTCTGGTGTTGGAACTGGCAGCTGCTGCCAGGGCGATGCTCTTCCTCCGTGCAGCCTCTTCCTCTGCTCCTCTGGCTGGTGTCAGCAACAATGTTCACTCATCCTCCATGGGCAGTTGTGAATAATCCGTTGTCACTGCTGTAATTATCCCTGGCCATTGATAAGTGCAGTCCCAGTGAAGTATTTGTGCTGCAGGAAGAACAGGGAGTGAGAGGAAGGCGCCTGAAATGCATTGTCTCATTTTCACAAGCTTTCTGTGTGTGGCACTATCGAGTTGTAAACAGGTGAGACTGATAGGGATAGAAGGAGGATTAATCAGCAGGAGGATTAATAACATGCTTTGTGAGTTGTGAAAGTCCAGACAGCTCAGTGATGCTCCCAGAAGCTGGGAGATGCCTCTTTCACAAGCTGTTAGATGGGAATCAGCCCAGGTCCTTTGGGATTTGCAAGCAGAGAACAGAGCTATCAGTACTGTGCCAGAGGGGGACTGACTGCACTTGGTGTTGTGCAGAAATGTGGCTGGTGTCAGCCCAGCCCCATCTGTCCTATCCAAGGAGCACCTGGATATCTGCGATGTAAGGCAGAAAATACTCAAATGCAGTTCCAAGGAAGGCATCCTGCACTCTCCCCACTTGTTGTCTGTATCATTCCAGCACAGTATAATCAGGGAAAACTGGGCCTGAATTCAGTTGGTGCCCTCAGGTGGTGCAGCAGGCCATAGCAGGAAGGGCCCTGGGCGTACAGCAGTGCCAGGGTTCAATGAACCCATTCGGATACCCGGTGCCTCTCTGAGCCTTGATGCAGATGCTTGCAATTACCACCCTTCTCAGTTTGGCACAGCACCAAGAACAACAGGCTCTGCTACTAAGCAATTAGCCCTGTTCGTTTTATTAAATAGCCATTCCGTGCTAATTGCTTGCTTTGCTTCAAGCTCAGTAAATCAGAGCTGGATGTGGATAAAAGGGAGAGCAGCAGTGAACCCTGCAGTAGGCTCCATCCCTGGAGCACCCATCCCTAGGAGTACCCATCGCTGTAGCTTCCACCCTATGGGCATCCACCCTATGGACACCCACCCTGTGAGCACCCACCCCTGAATGCACCCATCCCCAGAGCATCCACCCCAGGCGAGGCTGGCAGCTGAGCAGCACAGGTGACCACGTCCACGGAAATACCAACAGTGCAGAGGGAAACTCCCAGGGCAGGAATGTGCCTGCAAGGTCGTTGCCAGACCTGGAAGAGAAATTCAGTGTTAATCCACATTTCACTCAACTGTAGCTGCTTCCTCCCTGCATCTCAAGCCATAGGAGCTGGATTGGATCCAGAGTCTGGGTTAGACATGTGGAAGAGTAACAGAAGCAGACTGAGCTGCGGGTGTCCTGGGATCAGCCCTGCCCCTTGCAGCTGGGGTGCCCATCCAGATGCAGGATGTTGGGAGCATGGAAGCTCCATGCTCATGGTTCAGCCTGGATTTAATCCCAGTGGGTTAACCCCACAGGCTCAGCTGAAGGAGATCTCTGCTCATGTCTCTGAGCAACTCTACCCTTATCAGCACTCTGGACAACTTTGGAATAGGCTAAAGCACAGAAAGCACAGAGATAGCGTTATCTCCCTGCTCTCTACATCTACCCCTTATCTCTGGCCTTTCAATTTCCCAAAGCAGCATAAGCGTGATGGTGTGGACAGGCCATGGTCCAGCCCCACAGCTGCTGCAAACCAATGGGGCAGGGGCTGGTATGACCCAGCACAGCCTGGTATGGCCCAACACAATCTGGCACCACAGGGACGTCCAGGGCCATCACCACACCAATGGGGCTACCAGCCCTGCCCAGGGACCATCACCACACCATAGCAAGGCTCAACCCAGCAGGACGAGGAGCAGATCCAAGAAGGGAGGAAATTTCTCAGGGAGTTTTCTTCCTCCAGAGCACATGGGGCCCTCAGCCATTGTGTGTGCATGGAGACCACAGCAGTTCCTCCTGGGCTGCCGGTTCCTGCCAAACCTGGGCCCTGCTGTGCCCACTGCCCTGCTGGATGCTGCCGGGCTCCTGGGAGAGGCTGGGAGCCGGGAAGGAAGCGGAGCCGCCCCAGACTTGGACTGGGTGGGGTGGGAAGTCTTCCTGCCCGCCGCAGCCCCCAGGGTTCGCCTGTTGCAGGGCTGGAACACAACACGCCCGCTGGCATGGAGGGGTGGGTGCCAGCATCACTGTGTCTGCTGGAGCCAGGCTGGGCATGCAGAGCCCCACATGGCATGCAAGGAGACACAGAGCAGCCCCATCCCTGTAGCACTTATGGGGTGGGCCTCACCACAGCGGAACAGCCTCGTGTTTCTGGCAGGGACTCTGCAGAGAGCAGACATTCTGCTCTCCATGGGGGCCAGGGTATGGGGACATGGTGCCAGGATACAGACCTGTTTTTCTTGCCTCCTTCCTGCTCTCCCTCATCTCACAGCACCCCATGGCCACAAGATGGCATGGCAAAGCCATCGGGTGCCACTGCGCTCCCCAGCACCTCCTGCTCACAGCCTCCCCACAACCCCTGAGGCTACAATTCATCTCAGGGTCTCCATGGGACAGCTCTAGGATTCCACATCCCATCCACAGCCCATATGGCTGCAGGCAGGAGAGAGGCAGAACTCTCCTGGGGCTGCTCATAAAGGAGGGATTGCTTCAATGCCTGTGGGAGAGGAGTAATTAAACACCTTGGAAAGGCTTCTTCCTGATGGCCGGGATTGCTGACCCCCAGGGAAGGCCCAGACCTCTGCAGAGCACAGAGGAAATCACTTTGTGGCCCCGGGTGAGAAATAATCAGCCCATGCTTCACAGCTGCAGGAGGAATGATTTTATGAGGTGAGTAGTGGAAGGCTGGAGGTTAACCAAGAGTCTCGCTGGGATTGCCCCAGTATTGGAGCATTGCAGTGCGTTTTTGCTGCACAGTGCTGCCACATTTCCCACCCCAGTGCCCTTCATCACCCTCTCTGCATCTCCTCTGCAAAACTGACCTTTGCATTTCCCACCTCCTGTTGTCACTCACTTCCACCAAGAGCAACAATTTGCCTCTTTGGCTGCTCCAGTACCTGATGGGCAGTGTAGCAGACACTGTTTGAGTGCCCTAATGGGTGATCACACATCATTTGTGCCATCTGTGTACCATACTGTACTAGTGATGAACAGAAACTTGAAAACCCTGGGGAAATTGAGAGAAGGGGCTCAGTGGGGATCCCAGCACAGGAGCCATCTTCAGTCCTGGCTCAATCTTTGCCATCTGAACTGACACCCAGCCCGGCAGCAACTCCCTCATGGGCACTGAAAGTAATTCACCATTACACTGCAGAAAAAAAAAAAAAAAAAAACTGTGTCGAGAAGTTAAATCATGTCAGAAAAATCTGGGAGTGACCAGAATGCTGCAGCGCCTGCCCTGGCTGAGCCGCACCAACCTATGCTAAAAGGATAAGAAAATTGCACAATGACACAAGTTTCCTTTGATTGAGTCTCAGTTTAATGAGGGCAAGATCCTAGGAAGCAAACAGTATGTGTTTGTGTCATATTGCAAACAAGCAAGTACAGAAATCTAAAAAAAATAAACAAAATAAATATCTTCCCTGTTTGTTTCTCCCCAAGTTCATAGCACTAAATTGACCTGAAAACAAGATGAATTTACCACTGCATTTGGACAGTGGGTGAGAAAAAATCTGATATATGTATTATTTATTTATTTTTTTAAATGCAATTGTCTGTATGCTTTCAGAGGTCAGAGCAGCCAGAGAAGCGCCGATGGAACTCAGCAGTCACTGAAAAGTCCCCATCGTGGGCAGCTGGCACTGCTCAGCTCCTGGAGCATCCCTGCCCAGCCTTCAGCGCAGCACAGCGATGTCTTCAATCGGGCGAGGCTGCAAGGAGAAAAGGGACCCTGTGTTATAATATGATTATTATATACTACCCACACTTCGTGCTCCCTGCTGTGGGCTCAGAGCTCACCTACCATCATTGCAGACCCCTTCTGCCCCAGTATGATACTGTGTATGCAGACTGAGCTCTGCAGCTGCAAGCAACCCTATAAACACCCCAGTCTTGAGCTCGGTCCTGCCAGCAAGGCTCCAGATGTGATTTTACCATGAAATCAGAGCACTGCATCCTACACACAGGTCTGGGCCACAAGTGTGGCACCCAGCACCGCTCTGCCCCTGCTTCCAGCCAGGAGTCACCAGGACAGCACAGGTGTAGCACAGCTGATATGCCTGGGCTTTCCCAAAAAGGTACTATTCCTAGATTTCCACCAAAAAAAAAGGAAGGGGAAGGGGGTTTGGCTATGTGTTTTGGGGCTGATCCAAAGTGTTGAAGCATCCCTGCATTTCAGCTGGATGTTGGATCCTTACTGACGTAAGAGGAAAGAGGTTTAATGTTTGGAAACAGTCCTCAAACAGTCCCACGCAGTTGAGCAAAGCAGAGAAGGCAGGAAGAGGGTATCTGGGAGGGGTGATGCTGGGAGCTCCTCAACCCCACAAACACCCCTCTGTTGCACTGACAGCTCGGGATGCAGGCATGTCATCCCCCAGTCAGGGGCACAGAAATCACCCAGCCCCCTTTTTCACCCTAAAATCCAAGCGTAGCCTCTTTGAACAGATCTGACCATCCCAGCTCACTACGCTGGGACTTCGTGGTCCAAGTTTCAAAATGCAGCATGGACTTCTGCAAACTCACACGCTCGCACCTACCCAGTAACGAGGATGGAAACCCCCCCACCCATCAGGAGCCGGGCTGTCCCGCGGGGTCCCTTCACTTCAGACCGCCCGGTGCCGGGATGCTGAAGGCAGCGAGATGCTCCTCGCACCCAGCGATGCCAAATCTCCTGAACACCGACCCCGCGCCCCAAACCCCACGCCGGCACCCGGTGACCGCTTTCCCCGTCGGTTCCCGGCTTTACCTGAGCTCCGCGGGCGGAGGGCGGCGGCCGGGCGGGGGCAGGACGCGGCCCCCCCCAGCCCCAGCCCCGGCGGAGCAGGCGCTGCAGGAGGCGGCCGGGCGGTGGTGGCGGAGGGTCCCCCGCGGGGCTCCCCGGGGGCTGCGGGGCGGCGGCGGACGCGGTGCCCCCAGGGCGGTGTGGAGGCTCTGCCGGCAGCTCCCGGCGCCAGAGGTACGGGGAGCGGCGGACGCCCATCAGCAGCCCCGAGGCGCGTCCCACCGTGTGGTACCGTGGGCTGGCGACGTGCTTGTACCAAGCTCCCGCCGGTGCAGCCGGCAGCATCAGCCCCAACAGCACCAGAGCCCCCCAAGCGCCCCCCGACAGCTGCCCCCTCGCCATGGCTGCGGGCAGGAGGCGTCTCGGCGGCCCCGGGTGCCCCAGAGAAGGCAGCCCCGCGCCCGCACCCCGCCGGTTTATACTGGAGCCGGGAGGGGCACCCCGCGGCTCCGCCCCGGCAGCCCCCGGCCGCCCCCCGGCAGCCCCGGCCCCGCGGACCTCCTCTCCGCCGCCCGCCCCTCCTCGCCCCCTCCCGTGGCCCCGAGCGTCCCTTGTGAGCATCCCCTGCAGCACTGAGCATCAATCGTGCCGCCCCGAGCATCCTCCCTGCAGCTTCAAGCATCCCTTCCCTCCTTGAGCATCATCCTCACATCCCCAAGCATCTCCCCTACAGCTTCCAGCATCTCTCCTATCCGTGAGCATTTCCCTGCAGCCTCAAGCATACAACTCCCGGTTCAAGCATCGTCCCTATGGTCCTCTTCACAGCCCTGAGGGTTTTCCATGCAAACCTTAGCTTCCCCTCTTCATCCCTGAGCGTCCTCTGCATGGTGCCAAGCATCTGTCCGCAGCCCTGTGCACCTCTCTTCAGCTCCGCGTTCTCCCTGCACCCCCAGGACCAGCCCGACAGCAGCAGGATTTATTGCTGGAGGAAGAGAAACATCTTAAACTGACTGCAAGCGAGGAACCACAGAGGGGATCTGCAACCATCGCCAGCCTCACTGAGGGCCAGCTGCAAGGCACAGAGATGTGGCCTGGAAGAGCCATACAACACCTGATTCCCATGGAACACCTTCCAACTTGTGTTCCTCTTCCCAAAGCCTATTGCACTTCTGCTGCTTTCACAGCTGTTTGCAGTGCTGCTGCCCTTCCTCTTCTGCAACTCAGTTCTTCTTAAATAGGTTATCATCACTAATTTCACAACTTCCCTCAGGTGACTTTTCCCCTCTAGATCCCCTAATAAAACCAAGTAGGTCAAGTTTATGCTCATCAGTGCAATCCTAGTTCCTTCTGTTTATTACCCAGTCTGTTGGCTTATCATGCTGATCTATGTCATCTCTTGGAACATCAACTTGATTCATTTTCCTCTCAGCATCTTGCATGCTCCCGTGTGCCTATTTCACTCTCTGCTGTTATTTTAACCCATTCCCATGCAGGCGGGCTCCCCTTACCCAGCTCCCAGCCCCTTCTTTCCAGCCTATGGTGGACAGAAGTTCTTTGGGAACAAAGCTTTCTTGTGCCCCATGTGCTCAGCACACACAGGTTCTGTGCCCCTCCAGAAAGGAGTGCAATTCCTAATTGCTAAGAGGAGGCTTCTGGCCTTTTCCCATGCTGAGTACAAGAAATTACGTGTGTGCAGAACAGGAAATGTTTTTGTTATTGATCTAGAATCAGAGAATCAAACTTATCTGTGGCGTAACTTCTTGGAAGCACCCGGATTTACAATAAGAACCTAGCCTGGCTCCATCCTTCCCAAGCAGGTCACTGATGGACAAGCTATTTTTGCTACACTTTGAGTGCTCTGGAGATGATGAAAGGCCGCATCACTCCCATGTTTCAACAGAGCCATTAATGAATGGCAGCAGTACAGCACACAGACAATCACATCGCAGCCCCAGTCGTCAAACCTCGGTTCACGATGGGACATGCACTGTCGGGTTTATTTCCCTCAATAAAAAGCCATTATACTTCCTCTCACCCTAAGATCAAGAGCCCCAAGCAACCGATGTCAAGTCTGGAACAGGCAGAGTTTTGCTTCCTGCTCTGCCCCAGCTCCCGATCAAGCAGGCAGCTCAGCAGCTTATGCTGTGCTACATCAATGTGCAGACGTGGGCTCAAACTTCCTACCAAGAGAGAAAATTTTGCATTCCCAGACATCTGCCTGAAGTGTCTCTTCCATGTATTTTTGGCATAACTTGAATAACGTGTCATGCTGACAAACTCCCTGGGAACTGAGCTGAACTCTTTCCTCACCATGCCCACAGGTTTCCTGCTGCACTGCTCCAAGGTGGTCCCCACTGTTAAGATTTCAGCCTTTGGGGTCACTCCTGTAACTCCAGGGGCTTTTTTTCACCCAAGCAGAGTCCAGCCAATCTCAAGCCCTTTTGAAACACCCCCTTCCATGTTCTCACTTAATTAACACTTTGAACCCCAACGTCACATTTACCAACAACATGGGGGCTGAGGCAAGAATGCACCACTCCCACAGTGCTCAGGCAAACTGTTGGTGAAGTTATTCCAAATAGGTAGAAGTGAAGAGGATTGGGATCTAAGCACCTGGCTGTGCTGCTGAAAGATTCTTCTTTAGTTTTGGACCAAAACATCTTTTTGTGAGGGGAAGGCTCCGCTTCCTCCTGGTCATGGATCTGTGCTTGGTTCCACAACTCTGCAGGGCTCAAGCATCAGAGCATGAACGAGAACTTCATTCTGCAAAACTGGGGGGCAAGAAGGGTGAGCAGCCTGGGCGTCACACCTTAACTCCTGCAATAAACCCAGCCAGCTCTTGTTGGAGCCCTGCCGCCACCCGATGTAACACACGTTGTGCTCTCGCCTCCCACCACACGCATTACTGCACCCATTCAGGATTTGTGGCTTTTGAGAATGATCTAAATGAATTTGATGTCCCAGAAAGAGGCACTTGAAAAATAAACCGGCGTGGTTTAATGGTAGCATTTTCCACATTTTTATTATAATGACTCTGGTGTTTATTGGAAGGTTAGCAACTCATCCGAGCATGAAAACAAGGCAATTTAAAAGGCCAGCCCTATGATGGGGTCTTTGGCACACTCAGTCATTACTGCTCCTCCTTTATATGACACTTTTTGGCCATTTGGGCTCTCCAGCATCTCACTGTGGGTGTTCGATGGGAGGATGGAGGCATCATTTTCAATATAGGCAAAAAGAGAACCTGTCCTCCTCTGGCTGCAGGGTGCTCTGCAGAGCTACAGTCCTAACTCATCTCAGCTGGGAAGCTGAGGGCAAGAATTTAGGGTGTCCAGCCTGAAGAAAAGGAGTCCAAGAGGTGACTCTCTGTAACCTTCTGAGGAGGGGAAGTGGAGAGGGAGGTGCTGGACTCCTCTCCTGGTAACTGAAGGGAGTGTGAGGATGACACAGAGCTGAACAAGACTGGGTATTGGCAACAATTTCTTTAACTTGAGGGTGACCAAACAGTGGAACAGGCTTCCTGGAGAGCTGGGTGATGCCTCATGCCTGCCAGCATTTGGACAATGTCCTCAGTAATATGCTTTAATTTTTGATTAATTTTTGAAGTAGCCAGATGGACTCAATGATCTTTGAAGGTCCCTTTCAACTGGACTTACTCTGTTCTGTTCTGTTCTGTTCTGTTCTGTTCTATTCTATTCTATCCTATTCTATCCTATCCTATCCTATCCTATCCTATCCTATCCTATCCTATCCTATCCTATCCTATCCCATTCCACCCCACCCCACCCCACCACATCCTATCTTACTCCATTGAATTCCATTCTGCTCTGTTCTGTCCCATTCTATTCTGTACTGTTCCACTCCATCCCATCCCATCCCATCCCATCCCATCCCATCCCATCCCAACCCCTTCCAATCCTATCCTATCTTATTCCACTAGATTCCATTGTATTCTGTTCTATTCCATTCTATTCTATCCTATCCTGTCCTGTGCTGTGCAGTCCTATCTTATCCTATTCCATTCCATTTCTTTCCATTCCATTCCAACCTACCCTACCCTACCCTACCCTACCCTATTCCATTCCATTCCATTCCATTCCATTCCATTCCATTCCATTCCATTCCATCCCACTCCATTCCATTCCATCCCATTCCATTCCATTCCATTCCATTTCAATCCATACCATCCTACCCTATTCAGTTCAGTTCTGGTCTTCTCTTCTATTCCACAGTCAGTGCCACTCCCCGAGGCTGCACAAAGTGCAGTGCTGCTGCAGACAGCTGTCCTTCAGGAGGGGTGTGAAACTCAGCACCCGAACCACCAGAGACACAGATTCCACCAGAGGAGGTGAGCACGGTCAACTCCCTGCTGCCCAGGGCCAGCACTCAGGGTCCCCACACTCCGTCTCCTCACACCAAATTATTGCTGCTCACCCTTCACCGACTTCTGCTTTATTTCAACCCCGAGTGACTGCGGTTTAACAGCAAGACGAAACAATTCCCACAGCTGTGGCTCAGTGAATTCTGGTGGTTCCCAACGCAGAACTCACTGCTGGATCAGCCCATGCGTTCTGCTCAGCAGAATGAGCCATGCAGAGAGTGGGACCCACAGCTACCCTGCGATAACAGTTGCCATTCCTCACATCTTCACTTCATCCCAGTGTAATAAATTCAAGTTTGAAAGTGATTCCTTTCACCAGTGATTCAGAACGTGCTGATTAAACACTGTTTCTTTGTTCCCCTGAAACAGATCCAAACAAACTGCAGCATCTCACTGTGAGCAAAGCAGCACCTCGGCTCAGTGCTGAGACCTCCCGCGTGCTTTGGAGGCTCTGGAGAGAAAGCGGAAGCAGTAAATGGCTTTTCCTAATGTTTCAGCTCTTCCTATCATAGTGCCCTGCATTCCTTATTTTATTCCTAAGAAACAACATATTCATCCCTATTTTTAGGCTTGCACACTATTTTGAGAGATTTTTCCAGGGTCCAGTCACATGGAAGTTAAACAGCGAGCAGCAAAGTCTCCAAAGGATAATAAACTATCTCAAATTACTTTGCTCATGGAACAAAGCGTGCTGCAAATGTCACACACGCTATTACAAGAGCAGCAGAAGCCTTTACATGAAACAATGGATCCATTAGCACTGAGCTTGAAAAAAAAAAAAAAAAAGAGCCCGGTCTCACAGCCCTTTCGCACAGTTCCATAGAACTTGGGGCTCTGAGCCATAGGAACTTTGTTTGTTCCCTCAAACTGTGCAGCTGAGCTCACACCACTGCACCTTCGATCACTGCAGATTTCAAAGCCCTGTATAGAGAGTAATTAAGCCCCGTTGCACCCAGTTGAGTCAGTGGCACCCAGTTGAGTCAGTGGCTTTATTTCTGCTTCAAACTGAGGGATGGAGAGGGATTGACTGAATCAGAGATGGGAGACAAAGCCTGGGCAGAGGCACATTGGGCTCATGGGCTCCGCCTGGCCCAGCTCTGCAGAGCGGCTCAGCTCCGATGTGACTCGATGACATGGCACCACCAAGTGCACTGTGGACACGGCACAGCAGCACCGACGATCAGGATGAAAAATCATGAGGATGTGCTATGACACTGCCTTCAAAAGCAGTAGGGAAGCAGCAAAGACAAGAATCTGAAAAGCAGGCAGAAGAGCAGGGGAAAAAAATAAAAAGGTTTTGTCAAATGGTTGTGTCTAAGGCAAGCAGATTTCTCAGCCCCCTCCATTCCATGATTCAGTCTTTCTCCTGGAAGTAATTTTCAATAGCGAAAGCGAGTTAATGCTCAGATGTGTATGCAGAGTATATTTGGCTCCAGTCGGAGGCATGTTTACTGTAAGGGGGAAGAGTTGTGAAATGAATCTGTACTTTGACAGCTCCGAGATCTCTTAACCAAATCCCAAACAACCCCAAAGCACTCTCCTATTTTTTTCTGCAATTTAATCAGATGAGGCTGGATTGCACATGCAGCTATATGCACCGAAGGTGATTGGAGCAGAGAGCTGCAAGGCATGGAGCTGAGAACCAAATTTGCCTGGAACCAAATCTGTACAAATGGAGCTTGTTCAGTTTGGCATGAGTGATGCTGGGTTAGGAGCTGTGTTGGTGAAACCTTTTGAGATAGCAGAAAGGAGGCACATAGCAGCCTCATGGACCATCACTGCGAGCGGAATTAAAGGAGTGACAAATGTGTTGCAGTAAAAGGAAGCAATGTCCTGCTCTCCATACCAGTGGCACAAGCAACCATGGGGCTGGTGCGGCCAAGTTGCATTGCTTTGTCCATTGATGTTTGCTGCCTTAATGCTAGTTGGAAGCTGAGCTCTCCCTGGGCCCTCACTCTGTTGCACTCTGTTGGGAATTTGCACATTGGCTCTTCACCTTGAAAGCTTAATGCTGTCTCTTCCCCCTGCTGTTCTCTGAATTCCCATCTAGGCACTGTGCCTCTGTTAGCTGCACTTATTGTGCTCTCATCCTCCAAAGAGCAGTTGCTAAAGAAAACCCTACCACCAGGCTTCGAATGCCTTAAAATACACCTCTGCTTCCCAGCATGTACCTCTGTTTGTGCTGTAGGGATGGTTCCCTCCCTGCTTCTCGCCCCCTTTAAGGAATCACTGCTTTTCAGAAGAGAGAAGCTCGTATTACCAAATTATGTTTGTTCTCAAATATAGATTTTGGAGGAAAATTCCCTTGTGAAATCTGAAATTGTGCAAAGCGTGTTGTGCCTCCTGGCAAATCAAAGGGCAGAAGCGTGTGTGTGCCTCCCTGCTACCCAACTCCTACAAACAAAAACAAGCTCTTGTTTAAAGTCATTGCAGACTGGGGTATTAAACGTGGGAAACTAACAGAGCATCTCTCTGTCGGTCCCACAGATACAACTGTTGGCATGTTTGATCCCAAATGGGGAATAAAAAAAAGACCAAACCTGCTGACACTGTGTAGCTTGAAATGCTGCACAATAGACTGCAGCGTGCCACAGCCAACCAGCAGGAGGGAGGCAACAGGGAGAGCTCAGCAAAGGGTTGGAAATGCAGGAAAAATGAGGAAGTTACTGCTTTTATGAGAAACTTTGTCCAGTGAAAGCGTATCTCAGTGTTGTGCTCTAAGTGTCTTCACTGCAAATGAACCGCATCTGCCTCAAGCTGCGAGGCTGAAATTAATCTTAGGCATAACCTTTAGGTCTGCACTTTGACAGTATTTTAGTGCTAAGTCATAAATATTTGATCTGTTGCTCTTCTGAATAAAATGGATTTGTTGTGCTCATCTGCAGGTTATCAATTATTCCGCAGTATATTTATTGCTGATTAAATGACTCAAAGAGTGCCTTTTTCTTCTGATAATATTGTGTGATATTTAGGGAGTAAGCACAGAAATTAAATACCACTAGAATCAATGTTAACCCTTTATTTAGGGGAGAAAACACCACCATCTTGACAACACATAGAGCCAAGTACCAACCAAGTTATTTGCAACAGACACCAGAGCTTAGTTAATTGAATATGATTGCATCTCTTTATGGTTTTGGGTCACACATAGTGCTCAGATCCGGACTCCATCTGCAATCCAGGGAGAAATAAACCAACATCCTTAACCCATCAGCAAAGAATGATTCAATCCACTGAAAGACTATTATAAAAACCTCTTTGCACCACGAAATAAATTAATCCACACCCATGACTCACACATGCTGGCAGTGTGATTCTTCAGAATGACGATGAGCTGAAAAATGGCTTCGGAAAGAAAGTTTGGGCATTGGCTTTTAGCAATTCTTCATTCTTCTTGCTGGAGTTCCAGATGTCAGGAAAGAAGCAGCATCTTCTGCAACGACACAGAGATGGCACAGAGGTTTTCCTTCCATTTTACACCCATGCACAGAGTCAACACACAGTAGCACAAGCAGGGCTGCTGCCAAAAGGTTCCTGCTCTTGAGCAGAGCCATGCAGTGAGGACAGAAGCAGGAGTTAAACAGGCCTGAGCTCTGCTGAAGGCTGCAGAAACCAGAAGTGTGGGGATAATGTTTGTTAGGATTGCGTTTGTAGAGGCCAGGGCTGGAGCTGGCCCCCAGCTTGCACCTCACAGCTCTCTATTAGAAAGAAACTTCCTGTTGGTGATAGGTGGGCAGTTGCACTGGCTGATCTTGTAGGTCTTTTCCAAGCTTGGTGATTCTACGATGCTATGATTCTATGATTCCTGCATTCACTTTAAAGCCAAGGACTCACTGAGACTGCGAACTCCAATCAGCAGGAAAAGTCACTCTGAACTTGTACTGCTGATGGGAGTTGAGCTTGTTGGCAAAGGGACACGAAATTGTCAGCGGTCCGTCCCTACCACAAAACCCAGAACTGGAATCTGCCAAGCACAAACTCCGGTTGTGCCCTGTGGCTTTGTCACAATGTTCATTGTGATGAGTAATATCACTTTTAAGCCTAATTATGCAGGTGTATTTATTATCCTAAGCTCGGCCATGGCGCTGGGGTACTTGCGTAATTTCACAGACGAGTGACACTTAAGACAGCACATTACTGTCGGCAGCCTCCATCTCATTTCATGCTAATTGCTCTCCAAAATGGTGTGATGCAGTTTGGGCACAAAAACATTTCCAACAGTATCATTAATTTGGAGGGGGCGGGGGGAGGTACATTTCCTGAAGTAAATGCAGCCAACATTCTCGGCCATTCCTAATTATTTAATACAGCCCCATCCAAACCCACTTCGGTGCCGATTATCTGCTCTCTACTTTGAAGTGTGATAAATGGGTCTCTTTAGGAGGAAGTAAATATTACCTGTTGTACACAACGACCCAAAATGTGGAATTACTTAGTTGATCTGTTTTCCAAAATACTCATCTCATACATTACTTTATTTATTCTACAGTGCAGATGTTGTTCAGTGCTGCTGGTGTTGGACAAGGTAACATCGTGACACATTGCAATGGACTCGCTGTTTTTTTAAATGATCATTTATGCATCAGAGAAATGAAGACCCTCTTTTAAGACAACTGACAAGGAATTCAGTGAAAAGAAAGCAGATCTGAATGATGGAGGTGCTGCTCATCCAGGCCTCCAGCTAGCAATGATGAACGAGAGTAGATCCTAAGAATTTATCATACATATAATATATGATTTAATACCGTTTGTCACCATTTCCCTTCCTAGAAAAGTGACTTCATTTTGAGATGTTTTATCACAAAGTTAATATGCTGTGCCACCAAGTAACTTGGGTGTCTGCCCAATGTCCTGGGGTCACTCCTCAGGCCCCTTGAACACCCCTCCCAGGAGGGACCCATGGAAAATGGAACCACTGTGTCATTTCCAGGACAGATGGCAGCCTTGACTCAGGGGATGGGACTCCAGGAATGTTTGCTAATTGCGGTGCCATGATGCTCATCTGGTGACACATATGATGATGTGGTAGAACAAGCGCCCCATGACAAGACCTCGGCGTTTCTCTGGACTTTTTGACAGATCCAGCAGCATTCCTGTCTTTGAAGGGGATCTGCTCTGATATTTCACAGAGGAATCCAGGAAAAAGAAAGATGGGACACCACAGAAGTCTGAAATAAAACCCAGTTTATGACCATCTCTGTGCCATATCAAATAGCATTTATGCTTTTCAACTTCATCTCCAGAGGAACATGGCTGTGAGCTGCATTGCCTCTGCTCTCAGTGCTCCTGGAGCACCCTCTTCTGTCTGAGGAGCTGCGGCTCTGCTCTGTGAGCACCAACAGGACACCACGACCTTTAAGAGGTGAGCTCAATCCTCAAAGCAAGTGCGGGAGCACAGGTTCCTCAGCCAACAACCTGACGTGTCGATGATGAACTCGAGCTCCATTACCTCGTTCCTGAAGCACCGGGCAGCTGTCATGTGCTCAGATACTGAACGCATGAATCACTGCCTGCAGCACATACCCAAACAACATCGTTTTTCTCTAAACACTGTAACTAATGTATGTGTGAACACAAATACGATCTATTTGTGTTCCTGTTCTAATGTGTGCAATATTCAATTTTCTGTAATCTTTCATGTACATTTTGGGAGTTTTTTGTCTCTTGCACACAGCTTACCAGACACCTACATAAACCCCTTCTGGATGAGGGGATTGAATGCAACCCCTGTAAGTGTGCAAGTTGGAAGGAAGTGTTGATCTGCCTGAAGGTAGGAAGGCCCTACAGATGGACCTGGATGAGCTGCATCTATGTGTTGAGGTGAACAGGCTGAGCTTCAGCAAGGCCAAGTGCCAGGTCCTGTGCTTCGGTCACAACAACCCCATGCGTTGCTGCATGCGTGGGCCAGATTGGCTGAGAGCTGTGCAGAGGAAAAGGATCTGAGATTGTTGGTTGACAGCCACTGAACGTGAGCCAACAGTGTGCCTAGGTTCAGATTGGGCATTGAGAAACATTTCTTCTCTGAAAGAGCAGTCGGGCCGTGGCACTGCTGCCAGGAGGGATGGGGTGGCCGTCCCTGGAGGTGTTCAAGAGCATCCATGTGGATGTGGCACTCAGGGATGTGGTCAGTGGGCATGGTGGGAGGGTTGGACTTGGGGATCTTGGAGATCTTTTCTGACTTTGATGATTCTAAGATAAAGTCTGATCACAGGGCACAGCCTCTGACCTGACGCATCCACCATGGGGCTGTTTGCACCACCAGGGCATAACAGAGCCCAAACCACAACACAATCACAGAGCTGGGCAGCCTGGTCTGGTGGTTGGTGACCCTGCACATAGCACACTAGGTGATCATTGTGGCCCTTTTCAACCCAGGCCATTCTATGATGCTATGAACATCCTCAAGGCGCGGACAAGGATCACAGAGCCCAACCCCATCCAGAACCACCCAAAATTCGACCCCGAACTCAGCGTAGCGAGAGGGGCCCTGACGCGGAAGCGCTGCAGGCGGCGCTCCTCCACGATCGGGGCCCGGAAGAGCCCGGGGGCACCCTGACCTCGCTCTCTATGGTCGCACGCCGGAGGACGCGGGCTGACGCCAGGAGGCGTGGCGCACCGGATGTCTTCGGAGGATAATCGGGAGAGCGAGGCGGCGCTCTAGGCAAAAACTCTATGGTCAACCCAGAGCGGCGCCGTGGAGGCGACTCTCTATGGTCGGCAGTCGGGCAGAGAGTCGCTGAGCGGGGTCTGTCCAGGGCGGCGCTCTAGGCTTCCTCTCGATGGTGCTGGCGGTTGCTAGGTGGTGCGGGGCCTAGGCCGCGGCGGGTCGGCGCCGCCATGGCCGCCTCGGCCTCGGGCGTGGCGGCGGCGGCGCTGGGGCCGGCGGAGGGCCCGTGCGTGCTGTGCTGCGGAGAGCTGGAGGTGGTGGCGCTGGGCCGCTGCGATCACCCCATCTGCTACCGCTGCTCGGTGCGGATGCGGGCGCTGTGCGGAGTGCGGTACTGCGCCGTGTGCCGGGAGGAGCTGGGCCAGGTGAGGCCTCGGCGCGACACGGCGCCGCGCTGCGAGGAAACGGAAGGCGGGCGGGGGGCGGCGGGGGCGGCGTTGGGCTCCGCTGTGCTCCGCTGTGCGGGTGTTAGCGAGGCGGCGCCCCGCCGTCCCGCACTGCTGTCGGGTTTTGGTCGCCCCGCGTGCCGCTCAGCGCGTCGCCACGCGGCGGGGATGGAGCCAGGGGTGGGGTTGGGGCTGCGGGGTTGGGGCTGCGGGGTTGGGGCTGCGGGGTTGGGGCTGCGGGGTTGGGGCTGGGGAAGCTCCGCTCAGGGATGTGGCTGTGAGAACGTGCAGCGATGCGGGGGAGAAGTAATGCTGCGAGAGGAGAAGAGCTCCTGCGTTGGGCGAGAGATCGCGGAGAGGTGGAGATGAAGTGAAAGCGGTGCCCGGAGGAGGGGGTTCGCCACCTCCCTCTGACAAAAGCTGCGTGTTTAGCTTGGCTTCTTCTCCTGCCGCTCAAATGGCGTCTGGGACTGAAGATCCCTGAAGGTCTCCGAGTCGGTGGGTGCCACAGATGCTGTGGTTTTGCTGTGCTGGGTTTGGTTTTGAAACTGAGCTCACCGGCACCTGAGCAGTGTCCATGTAGGGCAGGACGCAGATCCCCTTTGGACCTGATTTTACCGTAGAATCACTAAGGTTGGAAAAAACCTCCGAGGTCCCCAACTCATCCCACCATACTCACTGACCACGTCCCTCAGTGCCACATCTCTGTGGTTCTTAACACCTCCAGGAACGGTGACCCCATGTCCTCTCTGGGCAGCAGTGCCAGTGCCCGACTACTCATTTGAAGAAGAGTTTCCCAGTAACCATCCTGAGCTTCCCCTGTTGCAGCTTAAGGCCATTACCTCTCTGCACACCTCTTCTCTTAGGAAGCAGTCTGTGGTGTTGCTTGGCTGCTGTAAAACCACTGGTCTCAGGGTCGCAGATGGACTGTGAGCACTTCAGCTCTGTAACAGTTGGTGTGTTTATGTAGCCTGAACTTCAATTCAAGACATCTTCTCTCATTTATTAATTGTTAAAAATGATCTTTTCATTGTAGTTGACTCAGTAGTAGTGTGTGGAGTTAGAAGAGGCACATACATCTCATCAGATCTCAGCTGATGCTGTACTGGTCAGTGTAGGCTGAACTGTATGTGTCACAGCATGGTGTCCAGAGGAAATGGAAATAACTTTAAAGATGGCTGGCACTGCGTGATGGAGGAGAAAGCAGGATATACTTGTTATGGTAATATGTGCTCTCAGTGGTGCATAATTGCTGTGCTGGAGTTAGGCAGGATTGCTTGTTGACCTGTGAAGTCACCCTGATGTGTGCTTGGGTCAGGCTTGGAGGACTGGTCAGTGTGTTTGTTATACACATGTGTGTTTGTCCTTGGAACTGCTGCAGGAACCTGTGATGGACTCCAGTGATAAAATCTGCTTTTCTGCAGTTTGTTCCTCTCTTCTGAAAGTTTCTTCAGGTTGAAATGAAGTGAAGTTTACGAAAACAAATGTTTTTAAAAATAATGTGAGATTGACATTTATCCAAAAATCTCAGACTTGTAGTCACTTTGTTTTAAGCCTGACATTTCAGAGGAGTGTGTGTTTATATGTTTGTATACATACACACACATACATGCGTGTATATACTTCAGTGTAACATATATTTTAGTAGTAGCTTCACTATAAAGAAAGCTTTAAAAACTAACCTAGCCAAAACCCAGAAGACTTGCTCTGAGGTGTTTCATCCCAGCAGGGGTAGAGGAGTGACTTCACAAGACTAAACTGAACTTGTATGCTATAACAGCTGTTCCATTAATGCTGCTGCTACACCAGCACTGCCCAAACTGGGCAACAGTAGGCAACAGTGGGAGCAACCAGCTTCTCTTAGAATGGATGCACTGTACAAATAATTTGGGAAGTGATGTAGTATTTTCCCTCACTTTACTGATATTTGAGGAAAGAGGAAGGAGTGGTCTCTCCATCAGACCCTGAGTCATGTCACTTTCCCTTGCAGGCTGTTTGTGTGGTCTCCTACTGGGAGATAGGAAGCAGCTGAGCGCAGGGCTCCAGGCAACAAGTGGGTTGCATTGCTTGGAGCTATTTCTGCCCCGTGTACATGGTTGTGGTAGCCAAGCATCATAAAAGAGTTTCCTAATGTAGTTCAAAATCCAAAGACCAGGCAAGTCCAATTCACCCTGCATGCTGCTCTTGCTGGAAGCTGATAAGCGGTCGCAGTTGCTGACAATTGTGGGGACAGTGAGCTGTGGTGACACACAGCTCTGGCCCTGCTGTCTAAGCCTTTGGCTATGGTGAGATTCTGACAAACAAAGGTTGTGCTGAGGTGTTGGTCTGCCATCCTAAATACTCACAGCCCATATATGCCATCTCTGATCCTTGTGTTGTGTCTCCTATAGGTCGTCTTTGGGCGGAAGCTTACGTCTTTCTCGACGATAGCACTTAACAAGTTGCAGCATGAGAAGAAGTATGACATTTATTTTATGGATGGAGAAGTTTATGCGCTGTACAGGTAAGTACAAGAATCTTGTCTGTAATTTGTCCCTAGAACATCACGTTTTTATCTATTTTACATGGCCAGAAGTGCCTTCTTTAATGGAACAGTGTGGTTTTATGGAAATGGTGACTTTGATGCGGTGTCCATTGGTCACTGTGCAGCACAGGTGGGTTTGGTGGGGTGAGGGCAGCACAAGAGGGAAGGGAGCAGCTCCTCTGTTAGATGTACAGAAGCTCTGCCAACAAAGTTGCTTTTTTACCAATGGCAAACTTGCTGCAAGGCTCTTCATTTCTTGTCTGGGTGCTGTGTAAAATAGTAAAGGCAAAATTACTGCTATAATGGTATTTATCCCTGCGTTGCGTAAGGAGTAATCAAAACCAATTGTACCATACATCATATGAAGAGAAGAGCATCCTCTTCCTGCAAAGGTCTTGGTTATAAGTGGGAGAAAAAAGGTGAAAATGTAACTTTGTGATATGTTTATAATTTGCATTTCATGAGATTGGGCAGTGGGTTTTTGTAAGCAGAAGCAGTTGGAAACATGTTCTGATTAATTATACACCAGCTTTGGGAATTACTTTTGATGGTACTGTTTCTGGAGGGCTGCTGAGATCACTGCCCACAGAACAGTAATCAAGTGTGAGTGAGTGGCAGTTCCCACTGAGACCAGTGCTCTACCTTCAGCTCTTGTTGGGAATCGTGCTTATTTTATCTCCCCACCCCATCATATACTTCAGTTGCGGTCAATATAAACCATAACTAAATCAGATGTGAGTGTAGCCCATATCAGCTTGATCTTCAGTAAGGCAGGAGTGTGTTGCACAGACATGTTCCAGTCCATCTGCAGGCTGTGTGCTGGTACTGTGCTGCTTTCAGTGACTGCTCAGCTCGCTTCTTATAGTTGAAGCTTCCAAGTAACTTTATTCTCTTTTGTTCCTGACTGATGACAAAGTATCTTTGGAATAAACAGAATGCTAACCTCATTACAAATAGCTGGGGGAGCAATAAGAATGTAGAATTCTTCCGTGGACAGAATGTTTATCTTTCAATAAAGATATTAGTTTGCTGAGAGGGAACTGAATAAGTTTTAGCAGATCTTTCTTTGTCCCTTAGGAAGCTGCTGCAGCATGAATGCTTTTTATGTCCAGATTTGAAGCCGTTCAATACCTTTGCTGATCTGGAACAGCACATGAGAAAGCAGCATGAACTCTTCTGTTGCAAACTCTGTGTTAAACACTTAAAGGTGAGTTGGTTCAATGCTTTAATGTGATGGAAGGAGAGGGTGGTTCCTTATGTGACTTGCTGGAGTACTTGAGGTGGGGAGGAAATGCTGAACAGCACCACTCTGCTGCTTAAGTTTCTCCTGTCTGCCTGCAGTCAGGTCAGTTGATTTCTTCTGAGACTTTCTTCTTCCATAAACTGATTAATGAAAGAGTCCTGAAGGTTCTAAATGGATTATGTTTTAAATTAAGCCCAACCATATTAATAAGCTTCTGAGGTTAGCTCCTCCCCCACGATGCCTGTAAATACCAAACCCTATCTGTCTGATAGGAAGTTAATCCTGAGTTGTAGACAGGCTTTGTTACAGCTCTAACTATAGTGATTTAGATATCTATTAGGACTTACGATGACTTTATGAGCTAAATCTGTAAATGAGAAAATATTAGTGGTAGTTCAGAAAGCAGAGTGCATCATGGAGTGATGAATTTCTCTCTCAGCTCAGAGTCAATGTAGCGTTTACAGTTGAATCATGTACAGGATGAGAATCCATCTTGTTGGTTTAATGAAATATAATTGTATTTCATTATCTTGTTTATTTGTTCAGAGTGAATTTCCTGTATCTTGTTGGTTTGGTTGGAAAGTGAAACATGAGTGTCTACAGTTGAGGTCTGCTGTGTTTGATGTACACACACAGAACACAACTGGGGCTGGTTTAAAGTGTAAAGATGAAGCACTTAGTGGAAAGCTGAGTGGCATGTCTGTATTGAGCCTGAAAAATACTCATCTTACTGTTGCCATTACTGGCTTCTTTTTTGTTTGTTTCTTAACCCATTTGGACTTTACTTAGAACAGCTGCTGTTCTGTCAGATGGGCAATGCTTTTTTCAGCCTGAAAGTCTGAATTTCACCTTTTCCTGGAGCTCAGGTTTTTGTTGTTTGGTTTTTTTTTGTATTTCTCACTGATGTGTCAGGCAAAATCAGCCATCGTTGCTAAATGAATGCTGGGGCTGCTAACCTTTGTGTCTTGTAGTTGTCAGCATTGTTTATTCTTGTAGGAGGGAATTTAATTTATGAGCATGTATTTTTAGAACTCATTACATGTGGTTTTGTCTCTGAAACCAATCGAATATCGAATCAGAGAAATGCATTTATGTTGTGATTTCACAGGTGGTTCCTGCAGGTCAGACTGTAGGTTGTTGCCCAAAGGGACAGGATCCAGGAGTGGTCAGGGTTGATTAGAATGAAGACCTTTTTTGCAGGGTTAGTTTTCACTGAACTGATTTGACTCTCCGATCATTAGCACTAAGTCAAGAGAAGGGGAAGACAAGGCAGCCTCTTTTAGTTGCAATGTCCTTTGAGCTTTGCTCAAGAGGTGCTTCCGCAGGCAGCCTAGGTAGGTAGCACTAGAGTGGTAAACTAGTAGAATACGTTGGCTTCTAATTTCACAATACTGAAGAAATCCTTTTATTTTGGAGAAAGCTTCTGTGTTATTAATACCCACTGCAGATAAATTCTTAAACTCGCAGAAGCTTCGGTCCGTCAGTGCAAGCAAAGCCAAGTGAACCTTTTCCCAGAGTGAGTTAAGAATCCTTGTTAAAGAGACAAGAAATAAAGGATGTTCTGTTCTCAAGGATATGCTGATCTTCCTGGCATCTTCAGAACCCTTTCTATCAAAACAGCCTGTGTGTTAGTAGGAGCAGAAGATTGGCTCTCAATGCAGAATTTGTTCACTGAACAGCATTGTTCTCAGGAAAGGAGAAAGGGTGAAGTTGATCTGTTTCCAGTGTTTGAAATGAGTGAAGTGTTAGCGAGATGCAGTTTGGATCTATCACTTGAATCTTAGTTCCTAGACACAGAAAATTTGAGTTGTGAGTTGTCAGATCGCATCTTTTTAAAGGAAATCTGTGACTTCTTCAGGTAAGTTGTGTGGAGCCTAGCTTATTCCATTCTTACATATTTCTTCAGATTTTTACATATGAAAGGAAATGGTACACTCGTAAGGACCTTGCTCGCCATCGAATCCACGGAGATCCAGATGACACCTCTCATCGTGGGCATCCCCTGTGTAAATTCTGTGACGAGCGTTATTTGGATAACGATGAGCTACTGAAACATCTGAGACGAGATCACTATTTTTGTCACTTCTGTGACTCTGATGGTGCTCAGGAGTACTACAGGTTTGCAGAAACAGTTTTATTTTTCTTTCTGTAGCTTAAATTTTAGAAAAATAGTTTTGGATCTGTGAGTTTTCTGAAAAGCAGTGCTTGAAAAGACGGTGCAGGAAGGTTGGCTATAGGCTCTTTTGCTCCTTATACCAACAGCTGCAGTAACCACTTTCTGTTCAGTTCATGTTTTAAAGTCTTCCTCTTTGGTGTTAATGTTAAGCGTTGACAGATGGAGTGAAGGATAATCATATAGCATTGGTAAAATATGTTTGAAGAATTGCAGCTCAGCCTCTTTTCTTTCTCCAGCGATTACGAATACCTTCGTGAACACTTCCGTGAAAAGCATTTCCTTTGTGAAGAGGGACGGTGCAGTACAGAGCAATTTACCCATGCTTTCCGCACTGAAATAGATTACAAAGCACACAAAACAGCCTGCCACAGCAAGAACAGGGCCGAGGCCAGGCAGAACCGGCAGATAGATCTTCAGTTTAATTATGCTCCTCGGCATCAGCGGAGAAATGAGGGTGAGTGTGGCTGCAGGGTGTTGCGATGGCCAGGATGTATTCATTCTTACTGCTTTGGTATTCAGAAATATCTGGTGAAGGCTTCTTAGCTAGGAAATTTCTTTGCAAGACGGTGGAGAAACCCTGGAACCAGGGCTCTGAGAGGCTGGGAAGTTTGTTCTTGATGATATAACCAGAAATTGACAGAGACACAAGCATCGTGTATGTGATTTCAGAGTTGGCCTTTCTTTGAGTGAGGGGATGAAGCAGACTTTTCCATGTGGAACATACAGACTTTACCATTCCTGGAGGTTTGATAAACTGCTTAATCATCAGAAGGAAAGCAAGATAGATTTATTGTAGTAGTGTAGTTTTGCTCTTTTTCAGGCATAGTATGTTGCCCAGATTAGAGAAATAACTTTAAGAATAATAACTATCCCTCCTGTTCAGGTGTTATAGGTGGAGAGGACTACGAAGAAGTTGACAGGTTCAACAGGCAAGGGAGGTCAGGCAGATTGGGTGGCCGAGGAAGTCAGCAGAACAGAAGAGGCAGCTGGAGATACAAGAGGTGAGTAGCACAGCATTGTGTGGATTTCTGTTGCTGCTTAGTGCTCTTTCTTATCAATTAACAGAGCTTTGGTGCACAGGTTGGAAGGAAGTAGGGACAAAGTTTGGAAGCTTCCATAGTGAATCCTTAACTGAGAGTACAACTAGTTTTCAGTCTAAGCCTGTGTGCTGGCTGAGTGCCTGGTGAAAGTGAAATTGCTCTCTGAAGTTTAAGCTTCCTGGAATTGCCAAAGAAAGCAATCACTGTGATCTTCAACACGTGGGTTAACTGAAATCAGAATTCTTAATTTCAGCAACTGTGGTTGTGCTAACTTCTTTTTAGAAGGATTTTTCCAAAGTAAGTGATAAATCTTTGGAGGTTTAATGGACTTTTTGGTCTGGGTAACTGTGAAATTCCTGTTCTAAGGCTCATGCTTTTCATTGAACAAACAGATCTCTGTGTGGACAGACTGAGTGCTTTGGAGAAAAAAGAGGGTTAAGTATTGAAATGAAAGTTTGCATTTATCTGTCTCTTCATGCATATAAGACCTGAGTGCTTTTTACATACTGCACCTCTATTTTTCTTCTTTTTCTCACTGGATAGTCGGCTGGTTCATTACTGGTAATTTCACTGGGGAAGAAGTCCATCTCTAAACACCTTTGTATGTTGGTGTCGCATGTGGATTTTGCATTCATTGAGAGTTTGTTATGAGCCATATTTCAAAGAATCTCTCTGGTCTACAAATAAGACTGCACGTTTGAAAATAAGAGAAGTAGGTGTCTGCTAGCATCCTTGGCACTGTCTCTCCCAATTCACTCCAATTGATTTCTCCTATCCTGGATTGTTATCACCACATGTAGAACTTGCAGATCCCCAGGTAAAATATTGCCTTTCTCACTAGCCAACGGTGTATTGGAAGAGTGGGTTTGTTTCAGCCTTCTCAGCAGGTGGCAGCATAAGGCAGGGACAGTCATCAGAGCTTACTGCAGAGAGGTGACAGGTGGAGTGTGAGGCAACGGTGCCTCGTAATCCTTGCTGTTTTACCAAGAAAATCTGTCCTGTCCTGTAGGGAAGAAGAAGACAGAGATGTTGCAGCAGCAGTCAGGGCATCTGTAGCTGCTAAACGACAAGAAGAGAAGAAACGGGGAGAAGACAAAGAGGACAGCAGCAGTAGAGGTAAAAAGGAGGACTTGAGGGATTCTGAAGTACCTAGCTCCAAACGTGTGCCAAAGTCTTCAAGTGAAGCTACAGGTTAGTGTTGAACATGTTCTGCAGCTGCAGGGAGGCACAAAGGTGTGGTGATGGGTCTGGAGGTCAGGCTGGCCAAAGTGTGAATTGCCATACATTGTTCTCAAAAGTCAGTGGATAAGGAGAGAGCTGTGCAGAGTCTTAATCCAGCAGCACTCATTACAGTGAAGTGTGTCTGAGTGGGCTGGGATTTGTATAGCCAGTTATATTTAAAATGAAGGTGGGTAGAAATACCAAACAGTTAAAGTATGACAGTATCTGTGATGTTTTATCCAAATAATACTATCTAAGACTCTGCCATATTTCTACTGTAGCATGCAAGAACTGATGTATTGTGATGTTTGGGATTAAGTTAGTTCCAGTAAAAGTTTGTAACACGTTGATAGAATTGTTTTGATATTACTGTTGCTTCAAATCCCTTTTCTGCTGTTTTATTGCTTCTACAACAGGGTTCCTGCTCAAACTTTATATGCCTTCATAATGAGCTGAGAGCTGCTGAGAGCTTAGTTGTCTAATGGGTACAGCTCAGCTGGGGATGACAGGCAAGGCTATCTTACCCTGCTGCTCAAAAGCCCATCTTTTGCTGCATGTGTGTCAAAGCTGTTATCAATCTGTTTTTAAGCTGATGCAGTCCACAGCACTGCATTTTAAGACAAAGCCTAATTGGGAATGATTTATGTTTTGATGAAAACTGACTGCCCAGGAGCTAATTGCTTAGCAGTGTGGGCATCTGTGCAGCAGAGGTGTTGAACAGCTCAGAGGAGCAGCTTTCCAAGTGGAGAATCAGCATACTGAGTCAGAGTATCCTAACCCTGTGCAGGCAGCTGATTGCTGGCCTCTGGGAGAAGTACAGAGCAGGCAGCTGGGAGCATTGACTTCTTAGTTGTGAAGGAGTCATCTAGAGACTGTCTTATCAACCAGTGTTTTGCTCACATTAAGTTCCATGAATTGCCTGTATGCTAGAGCTCGTACCTTATGTCATAATGGTGAATGCGGTTCACTGAAGGAAATGTTGATACATGGACTTATTGCCCTTTTGGAATGTTGGTTAATGACATCAGCAGCTGCTGAAAATAGAACTTGTTAATGCTGCTGTCATGTTCGTTGATAGCTTCCACTTTGAAACTACTGGATTTTAGTTGAATATATTTCTTTGCTCTTTTTGTCAATACCCCAAAAGAAGCAGCTGCTAATGGTGCTCTAAGCCAAGATGACTTTCCAGCAATTGGTTCTGCAGTAGGACCTCTACAAGGGTAAGTTTGTTCAAGACTGCAGCAGTGAGAAAGCTGATTTAGAAACTTAATTGGGTTGTGTGTTTCTGGAAGAATTAGTTTTATAGATCTCTTCAACTGTAGGTGCTCCCCCCTGTCAGTTTCCCTTCTGCTTTGACCTGTTTCTGTGTTAGCTGCTGCATGAACATCATGGGCTGTTGCTTCAGTTCGTAGCTTGATTTTTATTTTATTTTATCTTATTTTATTTTTGTGGTGCAGTTCCAGGGAAGTTTTCAGTATTCCTGACTCCACTCATTTTTAACTCACTAGCTTATCTTGAGGGAGCCATATGCTGTTGGGGTTTTTAAATTCATCATCTCGTTAAATGGGTGGTAACTCTATAAATAGAGTCTTTGCAGGATGTGGACACTAGAATGTGCTAGAAGCCTGCATGTATGGCTTGCTGCTGGTCAAGGTAAGGTGTGCTAAGATAGCACTGATAAGACAGCAAGGCTAGTGAGACTGCTTTGAAGAAACTCATCCAGACACGTTTATGTATTTGCATCCTGTTAACAGTTATGCCAGCTGTGCCACTCTAAGTGATGGATTGAAGAAGAATGCAGTCAGGCATGAAGCCTCTTTTGCCTAGTGGAGTTTTGCTGTCTGTGCAGTGGTGGTGTAACTAGGTGTACTTTTCCTTTCTCACAGCTCTGCTCAGCTAGCAGCAGTTAAGCTTAAAGAAGATTTCCCAAGCTTGTCATCCTCTGCAGCACCCGCTATCTCTTCTGGGATGTCTATGACGTATACAGCGACTGCAAAGAAAACAGCTTTTCAAGAGGAGGATTTTCCAGCTCTGGTGTCCAAAATGAGGCCTAACAATAAAACAGTAACTAACATCACATCTGCGTGGAACAGTGGTTCCAGTAAAAATGTGGTCAAAGCCATTAGTAACCCTTGTGTAAATCAGATAGCCAAAAAATCATACTCTTTGAATAGCACTAAAGGAAATAAGAAGAGCAATAAACTCTCTCAGTCAGATGATGAAGACGGCAGTAGTGGCTTGACAACCCAGGAGATAAGGAACACACCAACAATGTTTGATGTATCATCCTTGCTGGCAGCTTCTACCTCACAAACTTTCACAAAAGTGAGCAAGAAAAAGAGAATGGGGGTTGAGAAGCAGAGACCATCATCCCCTCACCTGTTACAGGAGACATCATTGCCCAGGTCTTGTATTGAAAAGCTGCCAGAAGCAGAGCGGACATCAAATGCTGCTTCTGCTCTTCATGCCCCTGACAGATCTGCAGCTGTCGTGAATGGTCATTCAGAAAAATCATTAGCAATCTGTAGTACACCCAAAGAGCCCCCTGGCCTTAAAAAGCCCACAGTGACGAACCAATGCCCTTTACCTCAGGAAGACTTCCCAGCTCTTGGGAGCTCAGGATCAGCTCGAATGCCACCGCCACCGGGTAAGCACTTCAGGGCACTGACAGCTTTCTTGGCTACAGCTTAGAGAAATGTAGCTACAGTTACAAGGCAGCCTGAGTAAACAGTCTTGAAAGTCCTCCCTCTTTGTAAAGTAATATCAGGCGCTATGAAGCACTTCTTGACCTGAACTTTAAGGCAACAGATTTCCACCTCTTTAACATTTAGGTTTCTTCTGAAATAGTGATGACTGCACTGTTGACTGTTACTTCTTGATGCTTCTGGGGAGTCAGACTGTTGGTGTTAATTTTACTTGCTGGTATGTGGCTGCCACAGATAAGCTCTAACTTCCTGCCCATTTCTGCTTTCATTTAGGCTTTAACACTGTGGTGCTATTAAAGAGTCCTCCTCCGCCTCCAGGACTGTCAGTGCCTGTTAGTAAACCCCCACCAGGTTTTGCTGTTATTCCATCCACCAGTATCTCTGAACCTGTCACTACATCTTTGAAAGAGTAAGTAAAAGTCCTTTTGTTAGAGTTACTTTGCACATTGCATCTTGAGATGTGCCATAGAAGCTTCAGACGGAGCAGAGAACACTGTCAGGATTACTGTAATCATGTGCTGCTGACAGAAATTGCACGTTTAGTTGGGTGGAGAAAGGGAGAAAAGAATAATCATATAATGTATGTCTGCAGCATATTTCCATAATATGAAGCAGTATCCAATTGCATTACTTCTGTTCCCCCAAATGCAGGCCAAAATCCAGCCATGGGACATACTTGATACCTGAGAACTTTCAGCAAAGGAACATTCAGCTAATACAATCCATTAAAGAATTCCTTCAAAGTGATGAGTCCAAGTTCAATAAATTTAAAACTCATTCTGGGCAATTCAGACAGGTGAGTGAGCAAGAGCCTTTGTGTTCCTGAAATCCTCCTCTGCTCAGTTCATGTAGAGCCTCTGTTTGTGGTTGGTGAGTGGACTAGATGCAGGTTTTCTTTTTTAACTGTGTGCTCCTCTGTAGCTCTTCTGTAGCACTCGCAAAGTGAGCGTGGTGTGGCCTGGGAGAACATGAATCTTTTTATAGATGAATCGGATTATTTTTTAAGTTTCTCATTATTCCAATTTTCTTTTCACTGAAGGGTCTGATTTCTGCAGCACAGTATTACAAAAGTTGCCGAGAACTGCTTGGAGATAATTTCAAGAAAATTTTTAACGAGTTGCTGGTGTTGTTGCCAGACACGGCTAAGCAACAAGAACTGCTTTCTGCTCACAATGATTTTAAAATCAAGGAAAAGCAAAGCTCAAACAAATCCAAAAAGAACAAGAAGAACGTTTGGCAAACGGACTCCAACTCTGATCTCGACTGCTGCATCTGCCCAACATGTAAGCAAGTACTAACGCAGCAGGACATTGTCACTCATAAAGCTTTGCATATTGAGGATGAGGAGTTCCCTTCCTTACAAGCAATCAGTAGAATCATCAGTTAGCTCTTATGAAGACCAATAAAACAGTTTCTATCTATGAATATGCACTTTTTGGAATGAGGTTTGACAGTGTAGTGTGGCTGAGAGCCGGTGCCAGTACACAGGTAACTGTTAGAGAGCCCTCTCAGTGCTGTTCATAAATACTGTGCAAAGGGATCACTGGACTGCGCCGTAGCTAATTAACATCCAAAGTCTGAGCTTCCAAAATGCCTGAGTAGAGTTAGGCCAAAATTGCAGGGTGGGCAGGCAGGGGGCCACCTTTCTCCTGTAACATGCAATAGCTGAGAAAATACTTTCTGATCTGAAGTCTGACTGGGGACACAATAGGGGAATATGCATCTGGCTTGGGGGGGTTTTCTTTCTTTAGGGAAGGGTGGGAGCAGAGGGGGGGAGATACTGAATCACTGAAATGAATAGAAGCAGAAGTGACTTCCCTTATATTCTGATTTTTGTGCTGTTTCTGTGACCACAGAAATTGAAGCAGTCTGGGCTGCAGAGATGCAGAACTGCTCCTACTCGCTGGTGAATAGGGCCGTTTCAGTTGTGTGTCTGTAAACGTTGGGCTGCTCGTATAGCTAAGAATATTCCTGTCTGAAAACTGAATTAATTTTACTACTTGAAGAATTGGACTGATCTGTGTGATGAGTTGAACCTGAGGTTTGAAGTTGCCTCTGACCTTTTATGTAACATGTTCTTTAAAGAAACTTTTTTTGTAGCACTGCATGTAGAACAAATAATGTTAAGGCTTTACTTTCTGTAAAGCACACTTCACGGTGATTTTATTTAATGATTGCCACGTTTCTATTTCTTGGATGTATTAATGGTGGTAGCTCCAACCAATGGCATATTGGGATATTAAATGCTGCTGATCACTGACCATGTTTATCTGCAGTGCCTTTAAGTGCATTTATGTGTTTACAGTGGTCTGCACTAATGAGGATAATTTGTTCAGGCTACGGAGTGTTTACATCCTGTACCTCCCTTGGTGATGTTGGTCTGCAGTAGCTTTGCTCATGTTGCTTGCCATCTGTAACTTCCACCTCTAGGAAAACAGGAGCTGAATCTATTCATCATTTGAAATAACTTCTCCAGCAGCAGTTATGATGTGACAGAATGACATGTCCTCCCTGTAGTGCACTTCCATGGCTATAATTAAGCGTCTGATTCCTTGCCCATCTTTGCAGACCAGGTTTAGTTATTTTTAACATGTTGAGATTAATTTATGTAATTTTTAAGTGACAAAACACTGCTTTTATATAAGCGTTTCTATGAAATTGAGCTCAGTCTATTACTGAAGAGCTAGTCCTGGCTATAGCATTTCTTCCTTGCCTTATACTTCTTCATTTTGCTTGCTGTCAGGCTGCAAAGTGCTTTCGATTTCTTTTTCCAAATAATTCAGATTGTTTTAAATACCTGAATGTGTTGCACTCAGCACAGGGGCCAGATTGCATGCCCTGAAAGGGGAGGGAGGAGCATTAGGCTGCATGGCTGTTGATAAAATGCATGAATACATGGCAACTAGTAACACTGCCGTGTTCCTGGTGCAGGGCGCTGCCTCTCGAGCAGAGCCAGCTGTGCCACCACCATGACGGTGCTCCAGTTTGGATGCCAGCTGCCCAAGTCAGCAACAGATCTACATCCTCAATTCTTTCCCCTGACTGCCCCTTGGGTTTGTAAAGCTCAGAGGCAACAAAGCGTGTATCTTCTGCAGGAGTTTCTGACGTCTTCCCTTTATTTTTCAGTTTATTTTCTTCTGTGTTAGCAAATACGTAAGTTCCCAGCTGGTAGGTTGTGAACTCACGGTGCTGCTGTAAGTTTCCTCGAGGTGCTCGGCTCTCCTTGGCCTGACGATGCAGTTTCCTTGCTCCCTGTGCTCACCTGATTAAATAAAGCATTACCAAATTTGTCCAGGCTGCTTCTATTCATTTTAAACTCTTTATTGAAAATAAGTTGCAGTTGGTACACAGACACTGAAAATACATCATCACAGATTGCTCTCTCAAAAGATATTTTTTTTTATATATATTTATATATATATATACAAAAGTTGTAAACATTTTTAACTTATTTCCATACACAGTCCACTTTATACTACAATCCACGTAAGGTTAGTGACAACTGCAACTCGTGGAAGCGGTCTGCTTATACAGAGGTATCTGCAAAAGAACTTAAATTTGCAAACCACATTTGGTATCGGTTTGTTATTAAAACTTGTAAAGAATTTTGAGGTTTAAACGCATATTGCAACAAAATACAGGCAGCTGAACTTGGGTTTCAAGTTGGTACAGTGAAGGCCATGTCTCAGCCTCATGGATGGTGGGAGGTTGACACACAGCTTCTAAATGCAATCTAGAGTAGCATTATGAATAAAACAGAGTGGAACTCGACTTGTCTGCTCTCCCCAGGAAGACAAAGAAGGCTGAAAGGAAGTCTGCAAATATTACACAGCTTTTAGAGAGAGGAATATTGATTCTACACTTTTACTAATGAATAGACAATGATTGCAGTTGGTTTAATTCTATTCAACTGCTCTCAGGGCTGCAGCAGGCAGAAGGGCAGCAGATGTGAGTGGGGGGAATGGGACAGTGCTGCGGAGGAGGGAGAAGGGGACTGATAACTCCCAGTTAAGAGCAGCCAGTGGAAAAAGCAGAGCTCCCAGAGCTGTCACTGTTGTAGCATGAACTCAGCACTGCTGTGCAGCTACCTGCAGACTGCCCAGTGGGAAACTCATCTTGCAAAGTGCCTCACCAAAACAGCAAGCCAAATCTAACTGCTCATGGACATGGTTAAAGTACAGGAGATGGTGAAGCACATTGTTGGGGAGATGATTTTACTGAGTATTGGTTAAGCAAAGCTTCTACCTTGCTAGGAATAGCTTAAGATGCCAGGAGCAATTTCCAATTAATGTCTTTATTTCAAATCCTTTTCTAATGGGTTTAAAGTATGAGTTCATGCAAAAAAACAAAACAAAACAAAACAAAAAAAAACAACCCATAATGTGGTTAACTTCATTGCTGAGAAATGCCTGTGTTGCCCCAACAGAGCCTCACAGAGCACAAGGATCTGGTAGAATAAATCTCCAGGAAGAAAAGGTACAGGCTTGCTCATGGTCTATTCTTTATACTGACATTCAGCCCTGACACTACACAGGAGCTGTCAGCACATGAGGCTGAGGGCAGCCCAGTCAGCTGCCAGATTTCTGGAGGGCTCTACAATGGCTTCTGAGAGCAGCATGGGGCTAGCAGCCAGCAGCAAAATGCTGCTGGATTTGCAGCAAAATGCTAACATGTCTGTAAGGGCTGGTCTGCTGTGTTACAAGGAAAGCAGCTACTGTACCACAGTGAACTTACAGAGAGAAAAAAAATGGGTGAAAGAAGTATGAGTGAGTGATGGTAAAACAGTCTGAACCTCAAATGAGATACTGCAGGGATCCAATGATTCTGCTCTTACAGCCCATACCTGCACACGCAGTCTGACTGACCCATCATGAAGATGCTACAACAGTTAACAGACAGCACTGCAGAGCCTTGCAAAGTGCTTGGAAACAGGACGCTGTGCAAGGGGTAGGCATGAGTCATCACGGCCAGGAGAGGGCTGGTGTCTCACGCTTCCTTAATTAAGGTTTTAATTCAGCAGGGCCTTGTGCTACCAGCCTGGGGGATGGGGAATTACACAGGAGCTGAGCAACAGTCGCCAACAAACCAGGAAATGTTTTTCTTTCAAGGTGGCTGACTGCTGTTTCCAAGGCATGAGTATCTTAGGTGTCGCAGTGCCACCTTAATTGCATTTTTTCCCACCTTGATGCAGACTGAGGAATGACTGTGCTGACCTCATCACTGCTGCCTGCAAAAATTGCACAAACTGAGGGATGCCTGCTGGCTCCTGCCTGCCCCAGCAGCACCCAGAGCAGGGGGAGGTTTCTCTGGCAGTGTTGGCATTGCCAGACCACAGCCATGGAACAGCTTCTGCTCTGCCTCACCCTTGCCAGGAAACCCAGGCACCAAAGCCCCTTCCTCTCCTGCTGAGTACAGCACATCCAGGTCCTCACGCACAGTGCCAAGCAGAATTTAAACATAATAATGCATTCTGGGGGGCAGTGACTGTAATGAGAAGCTGACCTTGGGAAGAACGATGGTGTCCAGCCTGGGGGTGAAGTCACAGTTGTGCTGCTGTCCCCATGCCATAGTGGCTGCTCTTAGGTCAGTGACAGCGTGGGGGTGCATGGCTGTGTGCATCCATGTCCCACAGCCACGGGTGGGAGGGGTGGAAAGAAAAGAAATGCAATGTAGGCCTGGGGTGCATACATTCAGATGTTGTAATATTCAGCACGTTTACACCACTGATCAGGACACTTCTCGCAGTCAGACAGAACTTTAAGTTCTTTACGGTTACAAGGAAACTCTGGAACAGTTATATAGTTAGAAAAAATACAATGTACCGAACAAACATTATCTCACATACAATCAATTTAAACATTTAAATTGATTATAATTTTACTAAAATATTAACACAAGTACTGTTTGTGCTGCTAAAATTTCAGTGTTCCCTCTAAGGAAAATATTGCTACAGTTCTACTGTACCCTGTATTAAAATCTTTTGCCCTTTTATTTTCAGCAAGACTGGCTCTAGAAAAATCACAAGGGTTAGAGAATTAACTTAGGCTTATACTCTACTGGGGTTTGGGTGTCCCCACTCGATGCACAAATTTCTCACTGCTCACCTACCTCAACCAGCACAGGCTGATAGCAGACGCCCCCAAGGCACCTTTCTTGCTTCTTGCATCAGCTCCAGGAGCCTCCTCCATCAGCAGTGCAGCATCCTCCTGCTGCTGCAGGGAGCAGCTATGCTGGCAGCGGGGCTGAGCTCTTCCTAATACCAAGCTGACTTCAGAGTGGATGGCAAAGGTACTGGGGGCACATTGTGGAGCTGTCACTGCAAGGAAAAGCTGTAACGGATGCCAGGTCCCTTTGTCACCACACACAGAGGGCTGAGCTCTGCAGGAGAATTGTCTGAGCTGGGAAATACCCGCACAGCTCCATCAGCACTGGGTGCTGCCAGGCAGATCTGGATCCAGGAAAGCCAGTGCTCACTGTAAATGCAAGTTTTAATCTGACCTAAATAGTGGGGTATTCAAGTTATGCATTTTGTCATTGATAATGACTGCCTGTGATGAGGTTTGCTGCTTATTAATTAATGCATTTATTTGCAATTTAGCAGCAGAAATGAGCTGTGCTAATGATGATGACAAAAAACTGCTGGATTTTTTTGCTACAAGAACAGCTAGGGCAGTCCTTTATCTATTGCTTGTGAGGTCAGAAGGCAACACACAGCTCTGCCAGCAACAACAGCGCAGCGAAGGATCCCTGCAGCCAGGAGGGCTGGGGGACTCTGCCACAGACAGGCTGACTGCTCAGCCACTGTGCTCTGTCCTCAGCAGCACCCAGCTCTGCTCACAGCCACTGCACACCCAGCACGTCAGCCGCTGATGAGCATCTGCTGCACTTTTCAGATTGACTTGGTATTAACAAGGCTGTAATTCTGCTGCTGGTAACCAAACTCAGCCTCCTCCTCAGGCATTTATCATCCACTCTATTCTCCCACTATGGGCAAACATGTGCCACATGCACCCCCACAACAGACTTCAAAGCCCATCAAGTCCTTTCGGTGCTCGCTTTGAATTCTGCATCACCAGGGACTGCAGTGCAACACACACATTTACACCTGAGGATTTTGCTGCAATTACGACAGATGGTGGCTGCTCCCAGTAGAAAAACACAAGTTACATTCTGCTTCCTAATTGACTTAGAATTTGAGTCACTGAGGCACCCACGCCTTTTGTGTTGGCAGCTCTGGGTCTGAGGGTGAGCAAGAGTTCAGTGTCGCCAATCAGAACTATTTGGAAATTTGCAAACTTCAACAACCCCACAATGAAGTGGAACTGTAACACACCATATTTTCCACTGATAAAAGCCTATTTCTAATTAGCAGACAAATATTGCTAAATTATTTTCCAAAGCAAGTTTCAAACACAACTTCCTATATCCTCAACCAGAACCGTGTGGAAGCATAAAAGCTATTTGGATATTCAACATAAAACCCAAACTTCTGTGCTCCCATGCCCCCCTGCAGCCTGAACTATGTTTGAAACACCCGTTTGGTTGTGGTTTTTTATACAATAAATATATACAAATAAAAGTAACACAGACACCACTTTTTTCTTTGTAAATTTGGCACTTTCCATGGCCTCTGCTCTCTGTGTTGTACATGAAAGCTCTGCCAGGAGTGGGACTAGTCCAGGGCCAACCGCCCCAGCTGCAGCCCCCCTCACTGCAATGAGGCCACATCTGTGTTAGCTCTGGAAGAACGAGATGAACAACTCATCAGCTACCTTGTTTTCTAGCAGGAAAAAGTATTTTTTTGGCTTTCCCAGGCACTCTGTGGCACCTAGTGCCCAGTGGTGCTAAAACAAGCCTCGAAGAAGGTACTGACTTATCTTCTGCCACATGGAGTAGCGACCTTCTTTCTTCCAACTTAGAGGGAACACTGCTTTTATAAAACCCTTGGACAGGTAAGACAAGAACCAATACCACTGTACAGAATTCACTGCACAACTAGCTAATAGTAAGGAACCCAGCACTGACTTGCCACATTAAGGAAATGGTACTGAATACATTTGCAATCAACCGGTTAACTGTACTGCACCATAGGACTCGGTCTATTTGTACACGGCCGCACGCCCTCCTCCCTCAGTATGCTGGCACTTGGTAACCTTTCGGGTTGGCGTCCGAGGTCTCGGTGAACGGAGGACTCTGGTAGGTCTCTGTGCTCTCAATGCCACTGCCAGTGGGGTACCCGGGATACGCAGCATTGGGGTCGGTGGCAAACTGGTCGGTGGCGAAGAGCGACATGTCGGTGCCCAGGCGGTACCGCTGCAGTGCCTTCAGTGCCAGTGCGACCTGCAAGGGATGAAGAGATTTGGGGGGAGAGCCAAGCACCGTGGGTGATTGATTGCTGCCTCCTGCTCCTCCACAGCCATAGAAACAACTGGCCCAGGATGAGCCGGGTGTGCAGGGCATACTGGTGCTGCACCACCATGCACCGCTGTGCCACACCTTGCATCAGCACTCTGTGTTTCCCTCTGCTATCCTTTCCCCCTCTCCGTGCCTCCCAAATCACAGAAGAGGCCTCAAAGAGATGCTTGCCCTTCAGCCTCCTAACATTGTTCATATTCATGCTGCAAAGCAAAACCTTCCCCTGAGACCTACAAGTTCTCCCCGTGCAAAACCAAAGCCCACACTGTGTTCAGATCAGGTTCCCACTGTCATCAAGGAAGTGGCACCATCAAACCAACTACTGCAAGGAGTGGAAGCTGTCCCAGGCCAGTGAAATAGGTCAATCCTGCAGAGACTCTTTCACCCTTTTCCAGGTTGCAAGTATTCAGGTCACAAATTGTGGGAAATGGAAGCAGCAGAGCTGTGAGAGACCTGCACTCACCTTTATTTCAAGATGTTTCATTAACAATTCAATTAATTTTTAAATGACAGACTCGGGATAAAAAAAAACCTGCCCACAGACACCAAGACTGGCACAGCCTCAACTCCCCCTGTAAGACCCAAGGGCAACAGGTGCTCCCCTGCTGTACACTTATGGCCCTTTGGCATTTCCCCTGGCCCAACACTATTTCCCTGGCCCTGGCACCATGGCAGCGCTAAGCCCAAGAGCTGCAGGCACTGCTGAGCACAGGCTGGGTCTAGCAACTGTCTGTGATGGACCTTATGTATTTGCTGCAGCATTTTGCACCTCTCCTAAGGAAAGCAGCAGAGCAGACAGCCTGGTTTCCCCTAGGGGCTGCCAAAATCCCCCACAACCCTATGGGACAGGCTCATCACGGTGTACTCCTGGGGACTCATTTTCTTCAAACCAAACTGCTCCCTAGGGTCTGAAACGAGGGCAGCATGTGGGCAGCA